TGGTGCACTTACGATAAAGTTACGATATTCCAATTCTGCCTCGGGTCCGGTCCAGCGCACATGAAGGAGACTATAAATCGAGTCTTTTTCTTGATGAGGCGTGCAAAGCACTGGCATATGATTGGTAAATCGTCGATACCTCTATAGGCCGTGTAAGTAACATCATAATCATAATCATTAACTAGTACTTACTTCACAATGGCATCAGCGTCGGTTTCGTCGTCATCGTCGTCATCGTCATCTCAGCTTTATCGTGTAGCATGTCCTTCTTTACCTTTTTCTGCTTATTGTACTTCTCTCTCACCTCCTTCTTCACCTCGTCTGACTCATCTTCCAGGAGCTCTTTGCAAAACTTTGGCCCAATGCCATGCGGCGACCAGCTGTAGCTACGTTACCTGCCTCTTGTTGAGCCGCTACTAGAGGTTTGATCCGTTCATCGTAGACCATATCCATGTAGATTTCTTCGACAGATTTTGCGCGCGACTTCGGCAGCAGTGCACTTTCAAATACGGAGATTTCCTTCTTGAGGCCACAATTTTTCTTGGACGTGTTTGTCCGCCAATGGAACCAGGTCTGCAATCGCTACCAGGGTTTTGGTTAGCAGTCAAAAGTTGTCAAAACATTCGACAACTCACTACTTTACGCGTTTTTTCGGCAGCAAGTTCTTCAGCTTGTTGCTCTTCTGTTAGTGGTATTTCGATGGGGATATCGGGGAAGAGGGCGGCTCGCTCAGGCCAACTTTTAAACCAATAAAGATGAGTCTTGGCCCAGAAGTGCGCGTAGTCCTTGTCCTCGCCGTGTAGTGCAATATACTCCGGCAACTGTTCATGGAGCCATTTGTATTGTTCCTTAGTAGTCCACTGAGCTGCTGGCATCTGTCATAGGATTTTAAGTCATATACCATGTTAAGAGTGTCGCTATCATACCTTTGTTTTTCTTTGCGCAATGATAGACAAGTGTGTCCCTCTACCAATGTCTATGCCCGTCCTTATATCATTCCACTGGCATCTGATCAGGGCTCGTTGAAAATCAATATCGGCGAATGAAAAAGGAGGCTAATTTAGCTGGCAATGACTTACTACAGGATCCGATTGCAGGACAGTCAAAACAAAAAACGGTGGTACCGGTACCAGTCTGTTCTGGCGCCAGTCGGTGTCTCTGGGTGGATCAGGTAATGAGGGTACCAAACTGAGTTTAGCTAGCAAAGACTTACTACTGGGTCCGATCACAGGAAAATCAAAATGCAAATGGTGGTGTCGGTGCCAGTTTGTGTGTCTAGGGCCAGTCTGTGTGTCTGGTGGATCGGGCAATCGTTCATTACAAACTGAATCAAAGTGAAGTGCGATAAGGAGCGAGTTGAGCGAGTTGATGAACATTGATCTGGTTTGATCAAGGTGAGCTCGGATGATGACATGCATGAAAGAGTGACTTCACCTGTGCGCGACATGTTGATCAGGGCATACACTGAAAGGAAATGCATTCTGACTGGCTCTAAGCGAAGTGAAATAAGGAGCATGACACTGACCTTGTTCGATAAAAGTGAGCTCAGATGGATAGTGTGCACAGAAGAGTGGCTTTACCTTTACCTTTTGTTGACTGGGGGTACACTGAAAGGAAATGGTCATCCAAAGAAGGAATGCGGAACGATGGTACTTACTGCCAACCAATACCAGAAAAGAGTGTTAAATCCCGCAGGTGATCTTGGTTGCGGGGGGTGAGCTTATAGTACACTTACATAGAGCATCACAAATAAGTACAGAATCTTGCATCGGGCAAGAGACTCACTTGGATATTGAACATCGGAATTCAGCGTTTGCATGAGCCACTACTTTGCGATAAGTACATTTGTCATATTGGCCAGCTACTAGAGACTCACCTGGGACGACATCAGAAGTTGGCAGATGCTGGTACCAATCCAACACAGTGGCGCAAAAATCATGAGTGAGGCAGCAGTAGTTATAGAGTTATTGAGTGATCAGTATAGTAGTTCCAACATGTGCACAGTTGAAGTGATTGAAGTGATTGACTTGGAGCCTAAAGCGGCAGTGGAATCGCCGAGTTACAAGTTCAACATATGAGCTAAGACTCAGCTTGTGCTTTACTCAAATCTAGCTATTACCCAGACCACCGCGCAAGTTAGAACCCCCGCAGACATACTCTGAGTATCTATCAAGCATTGAGTTGTAAATCTCCCAAAGTTAACATTGTGGCTAGCGGTGTTATTACAACTTAGTAAGTTACTCCATGCATTGCATCTGATGCCAACTGGAACATCTTTGCTTTCAGCCCAAACGACCAAGACTGGAACATGGGCACCCAAGACACCTGGTCCGGCAGTCAGTTTCTTGGCTCTGCGACTCCCAGAAATCAAAATATGTAACTGGTTTAGTTGGTACGTTTAAATCCCAGCCGCCATTTTTGGCCTCTAATCTGAACCTCGGTACTGTATCCGCCAATAGATCAAGCTGTAAAATCAATATACAAAATATGGAATCCTCAGGACGTCCCTTTTGTTTTTTGACATCATCTCATCCGGCTGTGGCTACCCCTCCACCAACTCCATTCTTGCATCTCTTCCCAGCATTTCACTCCACAGGCGTAATACTTGACTTTCCTCTCCCATATCTCCAATGATACAGCCACCTCCCATGCCCGCCCCATACATCAATCTATGTGATCAACACAATCCTCAGGACGTCCCTTTCATTTTTCTGACATCATCTCATCCGGCTGTGGCTGCCCCTCCACCAACTCCATTCTTGTATCTCTTCCCAGCATTTCACTCCACTGGCATAATACTCAACTTTCCTCTCCCATATCTCCAATGATACAGCCATCTCCCATGCCCGCCCCATACATCAATCTATATGCGATCAACACAATCCTCAGGACGTCCCTTTCGTTTTTCTGACATCATCTCATCTGGCTGTAGCTGCCCTTCCACCAACTCCATTCTTGCATCTCTTCCCAGCATTTCACTCCACCAGCGTAATACTCAACTTTCCTCTCCCATATCTCCAATGATACAGCCATCTCCCATGCCCGCCCCATACATCAATCTATGTGATCAACAGACATTTTTGTTATTCACTGTGCGTACTGTAATCTTATCACTAAGACTACTCCTGACATCATTGTCTTGCATTAACCATAATGATGCATCGGTGATGCATCCGGTGACCCGCATCTGCGATCTCCGCACTGGAAATCAAATTTCTCAATGAGTGCATCATATCACTGTTTCAAGTCTAATCAAGTTTACTAGACGCTGCTACGTTATTCAGGGTGAGTGGTCCGCCATATCATTAATGGCGGTTCATAAGGCTAACTCAAAAATCACTGCAAATACCAGTCTCCCTTGCATTGACCACCACTAATATGACATTGATGTCAATGCTCGTGACCCAGGGTGAGTAGTTCACTTTATGAATGGAAGGTGCTTCCCAGGCTCATCCAAAAACTACAGCGCATTTGAGTCCCACTCCCAGGATATCTCTCAATGAACGATCCGCTGATCCTCTTTGGATCAGTATTACTACGACACCCTACATGACCGAACCAGAGGAGTCCGTGACTGTGCACGAGGGCAGTATAGAGTTTGAGGAGGCCGCGAATGCTATGGCGGACGAGTGCTTTTTATATTTATATGAAGGAATTTTCTACAACATGCCTGCCCAGCACAATCTAAAACCCCCTTTTTATTGTGTTACTCGGGGCCGCTACATCGGTGTTTTTCTGGCATATCTCCGGTGAGTTTTCACGTTCTCATTAATATTTTTTATACTTAACACCTACCATAGGAATAGTGTAAAAATCGAACTCTGGACACCAGGCAATTATGTTGCTACCGTCTTTGTGGTTCAGTCACTTGTTCTGGGAGAACAGGAGGTTCATTGTGCCATCAGACGTAGGCTCACAGCGAGCAGGTGACACACTAGTAGGTTTGATACTATACTTCGTTTGGTAGCATTTGCTGACATCTCGTTAGGATTAGAGTTATGGTTATGCGGGTGTTGCTCAGTCTACAGTTTGGACTAGTTAGTTATGGGATGATGTCATACTACGAGAATGCCAAGTACTAGTCATTTTGAGAACAATGCATTGACATGTTCGGGCAATAACCCTAACCCTAAATGTGCAACACTACGGTTTGGTCAATTGTGCTGTCGTGTTGGTAATCAACATTGCAACATTCAACGACGAATGTCTACAGATCCTCCTTGTGCCAGGGAATCTTCAATTCAGACTATTGTATGCACTCCGGCAACATCCGCAACACTGAAGAAGTTACAGAAACGAAAGAAGAAACCCAAGGCTCAATTTTTACCGCTCAGCCACCTTGGTGCCACCTTCTCGCCAGCATACCCAATATGATGTTCATAAAGATGGGACCATTGGCTATACACTGAAGCATCTTCGACCTCCCAAGAACGCTAAAGCAACCATCAAGAATCTAACTCATACTGCACCGACTCTGCACGATGTGCCGTTTTCAATTCCTGAGCCATTCGATGATCTCCCGCCCGAAGTATCATTGGACTTTTTAGGTGAGGAAAGCAGAAACCGAGGAGCGGGTGTATGTACACTACATTATTCTTTGACTTTTTCCTTACCATGCTTACCGTGATTATTTAGGATAATCCTTTGCTGATGTGGTTGAAGCACCGAGGAATATTCCTTCAGTGAATTCATCCGTCTCGAAGGGAGATGTGGCCAAGCCAGCGCTCAGTCTTGCTTGGAATGTAATCGTCCCAGCCCGGAGTACCGGTGTGAAGACTGCTTAGGGTCAGAGCTTTATTGCACAACTTGCATCTTGTCGGCCCATGTGCGCCACCCACTTCACCGATTGCAGGTACGTTTTCATATTTGATTGGGAGAGTTGGACATGAAACTAATATAAGATATCGATGCAGAGGTGGAACGGTCAATACTTCGAGCAAACCTCACTGAAAACCCTGGGCCTTCACATCCAGCTTGGCCACACCACTGGCCAGAAATGTCTTAATCCTCAGCATGCATTTAACGACGATTTTGTCGTTGTCGACACCCGCAGTATCCATGAAGTGGCCCTTGACTTCTGCAATTGTGCAACAGCCGAAAGCCACATGCAGCAGCTGCTTAGAATATCCTGGTTTCCTTCAACAACATCAGATCCAAAAACGGCTGCAACGTTCTCTGTTCTTGAGCAATACCACTTACTCTCTTTTGAGTCAAAAATATCTACATATGAGTTTTATCACGCGCTCAGGCAGATGTCCGATAACACTGGCCTACTTCCTGTCAAGGTAAATTCATATTTTCAAGTACCTTTGCAGTTACTCCAGCTGCCCTACAGGATCAATATGAGTCGTTTTTGCGAATGATACGTGAGTGGTGCCACTTGAAGATGCTTAAGTGTTCGGGGCGAGGTCACGAGGCTAGTGGTATAGATGGGACAGCTGAGGGTGAATGTGCCATATTGTGCCCAGCATGCCCACACCCAGGGAAGAACCTTCCAGTGGATTGGAAAGATGCCCCTCGACAGTAAGTTTAGAGCGAGCTTCAGTCCAGAGTAGAATGATTGCTGATATAGGTACTGTTAGGTGGTTATACGGATTATTCCTCGCGATTGATGTGAATTTACGGTTAAAACGCAAGGCTGTCTCAAATGACAATGTTGACCCAAGCCTGAGTCGTGGCTGGGGTTATTTCGTGGAGGAAGATGCTTATAAAGGCTTCTTGCATGACAGTGCGGACAGCATCCAAGAGGTTAGTTAGTTTTATTTATTCTATTTGTATACTCACATCTATCTTTTGCAGAAATCAACGTGTTCAAGTCACGCTGCTGTAAACATGGCTGATACAAAATCTAACTGCGGACTCGCCGTTACTGGTTTAGGTACAATCGATTGTGCTCGCCACAACATGAAAAGGCCTAATGCAGTGGGGGATCTCCAAAAGGGTGAAAGGTAAGTCGTCATTTGCATTTCACGCAGTTGACAATCTAATGCGGGCACATAGATATATTAATATGGACTATCTATTCTTCTCGACACTTCACCATACCGTACTCGACACTCTCCACGTATCCTATGATATCGCGTGCCAGTGGCACAAAAGATTATGGCACCATATGAGTGCCTTTCCGTTTTCAATGCACCTCTCGCATACCGTCAAGACCGTCTCATTTTTTGTGCCCAAGTTCCACCTACCTGCTCATATTGAGCAGTGCCAAACCTCCTTCTCGTTCAATTTCAAGAGCGGGGTAGGAAGGACCGACGGAGAAGCGCCAGAATGTGGCTGGGCTAATATTAACCCTGTCGCTTCAAGCACGAAAGAAATGGGTCCTGGTGCATGGCGAGACACCCTTGATGACTACTTCGGAGACTCGAACTGGAAAAAACTTGTTGGACTTGGTGCGTCTATTTTTGTCAAAATAATACATTAACTTACATTTTATCAGGTAGTACTATGCTTCGCAAGATGAAGGATGCATTGCCGGAGCGAGAGAACCATTGTGAAGCATTCGAGGACCTTGATGATGGCTTGCGAGGCGAATACGGTGCCACCCTCGAACAGTGGAGAGAACAGGTGGAGGCTTGGGAGTGTGACGCTGCACAGCCCAATCCTTTCGAACGAAAGGCAGAAAGTAAGTACGAGTTTGTGATGGTAATACTTATGTGCTCATCTTAATCCTCCGTATATCACAGGTATCACTATGGCTTCTGTACGACTGGAGCTGGCTAGGGAGGACCAGATTGACCTTCAAACAGGGACTTACCTTGCCCTACACGAGGATTGCACTCCCAGTGTATTAATCAGCACTGGCTTAGAACTCAAGGAACAACAGTGAGTGTCCCAATCGTTGCTTATCGGACCTTGTTCTTACTTTGATAGACGGCAAATGAAAGCAGACAGAGCTGGCCTCGGAGTCCACGCGATGGACAATCAAGAAGGAAAGATGCTTCAGCGAAGCAACACTCTCTGATGGAGGATTGATGCCTGGGGGAAAATGCAGGAACTATACATGCCGTTTCTCGCTGCACTACATGCGAGCGAGGCCTCAGTATCTAACAATGTGGCCGCTGCACCAGAAGCCATCAAGTTGTGGCTGCCGTCCCATATTAGCAGGACCTCTCCTTGTGACACCCGTCTCCAAGCCATTGAATGGAAGCTGTGGTATGGGCAAGCTCATGACGCCCTCCGTTCTCTATGTTCGAACTTACGTGCTCTGACTGCGATCCTCAAGTATAAGAATTGGCACCTTCGTGGGCAAGGAGCGAACACGCGGGCATGGAATACATTGAAAGCCGTTGAAGCAAGGATCGAGGCCGCTGCCAGCACTTACGAGCATGCACGTAAATCCCTCGTTGTTCTTGCACCACGAGTGAATCAGACCCAGTCCGGGTGGCACTCGTCACTGCGGCCACTAGACCGAGCTGACATCCGCTCGATGACAGACATACTATGGGGAGAATCGGAGGGAACGAGAAAGCTGTCATGGATTTGGAGTATGCGGGGAGCGGCTCCCAACGAGATGGACAATGACAATACCTTGGAAGGTAGGCGGCTCTTCATTTTTGCTTCCTAGCCAGGCTCACAGTAGATCAGACATGCGAATAGAGTGGTGCAAAGCCCGGGCACGGGCGATGCGCTGGGCAGAAGAGGTGGAATTGTTGAAGGAGGAGATGCGAAGGATTCTGCAGTTTTTTGAGTGGGATGCGCAGCGCTGGGACGAGCAGGGCCTGGGAAACGCACTACAACTTGACGATGCAGATCAACACGAGGGACAGATGGCGTATGCCAAACGTCAAGCCGTTTTACGTCGAATGCTTACCGAGTCTTTCAAGACCAGCTGGGCTGACACCCTGGCTCTGGTGGACACATTCGAAGACATGGACTTAAGCACATAAACCTTAGTTAGAATTTCGGTCACTCAATACATGTTAGCGAGAGTTGGTATCAAAATTGCATTGTTTGAACAACAAGTTATGGCGCAAAACAGCAACAGCAGGCACAAAAAAGAGCAAAGGCTCGAAATGGCAACAGCGGGCGCGAGACAATGGGCGCACAAAAGCGGGAGGAGGGCGGCATGCGGGCGCACAAAAGCAGGAGGGATGCGAGGAGGGCGGGATGCGAGAATGCACCGAGGGCGGGTGGGATGCATGATGCATCACAGTGCATCAACCTGGAGGACTGATGCATTAGCAGACGGAGAAGGTGAGGGGATGCATCAGAACTTAACCTGGAGGACTGATGCATTAGCAGACGGAGGGGAGGATGCATCAGAAATCAACCTGGAGGACTGATGCATCAGAAAGCGGAGGGGATGCATCAGAAAGCGGAGGGGATGCATCAGAAAGCGGAGGGGATGCATCAGAAAGCGGAGGGGATGCATCAGAAAGCGGAGGTGGGAGGGTGGTGGTACAATTGCACCAATGATGCATCACTGGAGTGCTACAGTTGCACTGTTTGATGCATCAATATGACACGAACCTGTCACGCCAGTGCCATCCTTTATGCAAAGAGCTGTAATCTCCGCCACAAATCGCGGGGAAACGATTACGACTATGCTATCCGTGACGCCTAATCCCCACGAAGGCTAACAGGAAGCACCCTGAAGTAGTACCTTGTTCACCGGCTACACGGGTGTATCTGCTGACCCCGGTTAAACTGAAGTTCATTGCCGTCCAAATCTGAATTCGAACTGTAATTTCCACTTCGCTTCGCTCTGGTCCGGCTGGCACTATAAAGAGTGTGTCATGCAGGCGGTACTTTATCAGTTCGACTTTTACGGGGCTTTCCTTTAAAAAACGTTTGCAAGGGCGGACTCGGACTCTGTACTCAAGAATGCGCAACGCAATTTTCCCATTGCTGAACCTGGCCTTATTCAAAGATTTCAGTGGTGCCCTTAAACAGACCCCCATTGGCCCCACGGGTGACTTGGGATATGCGACATACCAAGGCAACCAGCGGTATCCAAACGCGGTTAACTCAGGAACCACGGTCGACTTGGGATATGTGACATACCAAGGCAAGCTGGACGAGGAATACCCAAACACGGTGGTATACTTTGGGATACCGTATGCCGAGCCCCCTGTAGGCGACCTGCGCTTCCGTCCAACTGTCCCTCTAAACACAGCACGTGTGACTAAAGAGGCCAACAGGAAGGTAGTCAGCGCGACCGAGCCCCCTAACTTTTGTATTCAAGGATCACTTCGTACGTGCGATTGCTGTCCTTGGATTTTCTCTGACTCCGTGGCCTAGCTGGGAAAGATGGAGGAGCAGGATCAGAGGACTGCTTAAATGTCAACATTTACACACCCTTGGACGCCACAGAAGGCGACAACTGTATAGTTTTGGATGTCCTGTCCTAGGTGTATCTTTGTTTTCTAATTTCTCACTATTGTAGTGCCTGTGATGTTCTTTATCCATGGCGGAGGTAATGTGGTGTTCTGAAGAATAACAGTACCTGTTTACTCATTTCGTTGTGACAGGTTTTGTTTTTGGAAACCCGCCCACCTGGCCATTTGATCATTGGATCGAACAAAGCCCAAATGTCATTATCGTAGTCGGTTTATTACCGTCTTGCTTCTTTCGGCTTCCTGCCACCCCCTCCTGAGTTCGCCGACCAATTTGGCTATAATGCGGGGACTCAAGGACCAGAGAGAGGCACTCAGATGGGTCCAGTCACTACATCAGCAAATTCGGTGGCAACCCGAACGAGGTCACCATCGCCGGGCACAGCGCCGGTGCCATCTCCGTGGAACTACACATGACTGTCAAGGAGAGCCCAGCCGCTTTTTGCTCGTGCTATTGCACAGAGCGTCGTCAGATCACCCCTTCCCACCCCTGAGCAACAGCAGGTATGTTGAGCGCACAGCCGGACTACCTGGATCAGCTCCCCACCTAACGCCCATTAACAGCCCCTCTTCGATTTATACGCAAGGGAAGCAGGGTGCGATCTGCCTGATGCGCTAATGAAAATGTCATGTATCCGTAGGGCAAATGTCAGTATGCTTGCAGCAGCGCAGGATGTTGCATTCCAGCAATTGTCCTTGTGAGTTCTGCCCGCTCTACGCGAGGCATCTCCACAGCTGACGTGGTGGCAGGGAATACCGTACATTTGGCCCTGTTGTAGACAACGTGCTAATTACTGGACACCCTACGTCAAAGTTCCAGTGCGGTGACTTCACTCATGTTCCGCTTTTAGTTGGGTATGTTTGCACTCCAGTCATTTCGGTGCTGTGCTCTCGCTGATGTCAACGTGAATAGTGCAACATCCGACGAAAGTCTTATTCCCAAGATGTTTGGGGACATCTCTGTGGCACTTAAGGTATATTACCCATTGTTGACAGACACAGACATCCAGCAGTTCTTGTGGCTATACCCACTGGATGACTTTGATTCGCCAAGTGAGCAGTTTCAGGTGGTCGCAGGCGAACTTTCTGCGAGATGCAATGTAAGTTTCAGCCTCTCACCACGGTGCAGACCCTTGAGTCATGCTGATAATGTCTCAGCCCCAGGCCATGGGTGTCCCATCCTCGCGATATTCGGATGACTTGACTTGGACTTATCGGTACAACACGCCTACACCACGCATCGAGTCCAACATCATCCCAGTCGAGCATGCTGATGAGATCTGGATGATGTTTAACGGCAGTGAAACTGGGTACGACACACAGACCATCGAAAAAGCCACATAAGTTGATAGAGATGACATTTTAGTCCCAACGGCACTTTCACATTCCAACCACAGACGCTAGCCGAACGCGCATTCGCTTCCGAAATCATTGCTTACTGGCTTTCCTTCGTGCGCAGCAGCAAGCCGAATACTTACAAGCTGGACAAGTCTCCGGTGTGGGGAGCGTACAACGAGTCCAAACCAGTCCGGGTGGTTCTGATGCAGGACCCGCAAAATTCGACGAATGTGACTGGTAGCTATATGGAGGAACAGCCTGTTCCAGAGACTGTGAGGTGTGCATTTGCAATTAGCAAGGCGGAGGTTTGTCAAAATTAGGCAGGGTTGTAATGGCTTGTCAGATTGTCAAACGTTTCGCGTTTCAGTCACGAGGTTAGCTGCTTTGTGCATTGTGACGTAGGGTTCTTCTTTTCCTCTAACGCCGTGCTGGTCATTTAGTGTATGTATGTATGTATGTATATCTTGTACGCGTACCACATTGTGGTGATTTCTTTCAGAATCTAGATCTTAGTATTGTTGCGTTCGAGTCCTGTCGCTCCTCGGTCCGTGCCAAAATTTCCGGCAACTACCACCTCATTCCGCCAACGTTTATGAAGTCCAGAATGGGCTAGCACATTGCGAGTGCGAACCTGCCCCGAATGAATTGCCTCCAGCGTTATCATACAACACAGGAATATATAGGCTGAGCAATAGCTCTAAGTCGGGACGTCAATCAAACACGAGTGAATAAGTGGAAAATGTTTATCGTAGCAATCAACCCCTGTACAGTGTATAAAACAGATTTCCATTCTAATCACGCTGTCGACATCATCATACCTACCCCCTAAGTACATCCAGCACCTCCACCTCCACCCCATACCCAAGCCCAAGCGCCCTCATTCCATCGCCCACAAACGCTCCCCCTAACCCGCTCACACGCCCACCGCGCGAACTTCAACACCTCCTCATCGCGTAACGAAGGCGGAACATGTGGTGAGAGCGTTATTATCAGCTGGGGCGATTTGGATGCGTCCATCCCCTTTGCCGCGTTGAATTTGAAGGAATCCATCCCTCTCGCAGCGCCGAAAAACGAGAACAAAGAATTAGAAAGAGAAGGAGAAAGCGCAGATCGAGCCCGCAGCCCCCTGTCCAAAGGAGAACGACGATTGTGTTTGTGTTTGTGTTTGTGTTTGTTCGGGCGAACACACCTGCCACACATGCAGAGCAGGAAGACTCGTGACGTGTTCGTGTCTCTCGATCTTGCGAACGACGCGCCAGAAGGCTTCCATTTCTGCTTCTAGTCCGTTTGTGCTTTTCGTGCCAGCACCTATACTCATACCGCTCACTTTTACGCCTATATCACTCACACCACCGTTGCCTATGCCACTCACGCCGCCTAGGACGATAGACGCTGTAGATGCGACGTGTGTGGTGATAATGACTTGGAGGGTTGCTAGCGAGAGATCGAAGGGGGTGTGGCGTGCGCTGTAGGGAGGGTTAGTGTGCGTCGAGGTTATATAGTTGAAGGTAGGGATCGGTGAAATAAGGAGAGAGGGTACGGCAGGTGGATGTGTTTGTTCGTTACTGGGAGTGTTGGTGTTAGTTGTTTGAATGGAGGGTGGTGGAAAGATGGAAAGGATGATGGGAATGGGGGTGTGCGTCAGAAAGCGGATGAAATCAGTGTTCAGACAAACTCAGAACGAAGATCATTCGCGCACCCAATTCCGAGAAGAACGAATAAAACAAATGAACATTGAGCAGAATAGGAACGAATGAAATGGGATGGCTGATCACGGAGCCTGGCCCAATGTTGACACGTGCAGAGTTGGATACCTTGGGGCATCAATGAATTTTATGAATGATCATAATGCAGTACTAATTTTCCTACAATACAAGAATGTGTATGCGAAGGAGTGATTATGTGTGCGTCTCGTTTGTGTGTGTGTGGCGTCTGTGTGTGTGAGTTTTGCATGTGAAGAATAGTTGAACAGATCCAGCGCCATACATTGCGAGACCCTTCACAGTGACATGGCGCAGCTATTATCTTCCGCCAATAACATAGAAGACAATGTGAAGGTGTTTCGAGCGACCTTGCAGCGATGTCCTTCTGACCATTCTCGTCAGTCCGCATGTCTGAATAATCTTGCCAACAGCCTTCAAGACAGATTCAAGCAGCGGGGCGTCCTGTCTGACCTTGATGAGGCCATTGAGCTCCATCGAGCCGCACTGCTCCTCCGTCCCCCCGGTCATTCTGATCGATCCATGTCTCTCAACAATCTTGCCGTCAGCCTTCGAGGCAGATTCAAGCAGCGGAGTGTCCTGTCTGACCTTGATGAGGCCATTGAGCTCCATCGAGCCGCACTGCTCCTCCGTCCCCCCGGTCATTCTGATCGATCCATGTCTCTCAACAATCTTGCCATCAGCCTTCAAGACAGATTCAAGCAGCGGGGTGTCCTGTCTGACCTTGATGAGGCCATTGAGCTCCATCGAGCTGCACTGCTCCTCCGTCCCCCCGGTCATTCTCTTAGAACCTCGTCTCTCAACAATCTTGCCGTCAGCCTTCAAGACAGATTCAAGCAGCGGGGCGTCCTGTCTGACCTTGATGAGGCCATTGAGCTCCATCGAGCCGCACTGCTCCTCTGTCCCCCCGGTCATTCTGATCGATCCATGTCTCTCAACAATCTTGCCATCAGCCTTCAAGGCAGATTCGAGCAGCGGGGTGTCCTGTCTGACCTTGATGAAGCTTTCAGGCTGTATTTACAACTTTCCCGCCTATCACATGCAGCCTCTCGTGGGGATCTTAGCGCTGCCAAGTCATGGGTAGCCTCAGCGGAGAAGCTGAAGCATGGCTCCACATTGGTTGCCTATCAGACCGCATTGAACTTTCTGGATCAGCATGTTGCTCTTTTGTCTTCTTCTCCACGTCATTTCGATGTTGTCAGGGAGGCCACTTCTTCCCTTGCCACTGATGCTTTCTCGTGTGGTGTCCGTTATGGTGCCTTGACGACTGCTGTACAACTAGTGGAGCAGGGCCGTGCAGTATTCTGGACTCAGTTGGCGCGCTTCCGCACGCCACTCGATGAACTTTCCCTTTCAGGTGACACCGGCGCAGCCTTGGCGGAAGAGTTCAAGCGACTTAGCTCTCAGCTTCGTAATGCATTCGATCAGTCTACTAAAGACCAGTCCCAACCAATCGGGCAACTGACCAAGCAATGGGATGATGTCGTATCACGCATCCGCGCGCTCCCTAACTTTTCTTGGTTTCTCCTGCCTCCACTGTTTTCTGACCTCCAGAAGGCAGCTGAAGATGGTCCAGTCATCATTGTCAACGCTAGTCGGTACAGCTGTGATGCCTTGATTATTTTGCGTGCCCAAGATCCTGTCCATGTTCCACTCAATATTGCACGAACCGAAATATCCGAATTGTCCTCCGAGTTTCAGTCCCTTGCAGAGCAATTTGGTTATTCTGATCATCAACACAAGCTTGTCAGCATCCTCCGCAAGCTTTGGGATGACATTGTCAACCCCGTGGTCCAAGGTCTCAGGGAGTCAGCAGTTCCCCCTGGCTCGCGCATCTGGTGGTGTCCCACCGCCGAGTTCACGCCGCTTCCTTTACATGCAGCAGGACCCTACGAGAAGAAGAAACACAATTTGTCTCACATTTACATATCTTCTTACACTCCGACTTTGACGACTCTCATTCGTGCGAGACGGCAGGTTTCTCAAGCTGCATCCCTGCAACAATTCGTTGCCATTGGTCAAGCACACCCGGACAGAGGGAAGGAACTCCGCTGTGTCGCTTCCGAGCTGGCCGTCGTCGCTCAGCACGTTGCACCCGTTGCGCCCTTCACATCACTTGCGGACAGCAACGCAACAGTAGAGGGAGCATTGGATGCATTGAGCCGGAATCAATGGCTTCACCTTGCCTGCCATGGAATGCCGAATCAGCAACAAACATTTGAGTCTTCCTTTGCGTTGCGCGATGGGCTTTTAACGATCAAGGACATCGTCCGGTCTGACTGGCAGAATCCGCAGTTCGCGTTCTTATCAGCCTGCCACACTACCGTGGGCGATAAGAAGAGTCCGGACGAGTCGATCCATCTCGCTGCGGCTATGCAATTCTCCGGATTTCGCAGTGTGATTGGTTCGATGTGGTCTGTTGACGACGAGGTTGCACGGCAGATGGCGTCTGCTTTTTACCTTCACCTGATTGATGGTTCAGGGAGATTGGACTGCACACGGGCTGCGGTAGCGTTGCACAAGGCTGTGAAGACATTGCGGCGCAACAAGGTTCCACTGGAACAGCAGATCGTGTTTGTTCATATAGGTGTCTAGCTTGAGACCCATTCGCTGTAAGTAATCCATACTTATCTGCTTACTACTACATGCTCACATTACTTCTAGAGATCATTGGGCTGCACTTTTTGACGCTCCAGATGACGGGTTCTGGCTGTTCATGCCTCCCCGAACATATGTCATTGTCATTCTCGACCGCATGCCACGCCAAACGCTGCCGAAGTCGAAGCCAATGGTCCCGGCACATTACTTTCCTGCTTGTCATCTAACTTTTCTGCTTTCCTGTTTACGCTCGCATGGTCTTGTTACTTTTATTCGTTGGCTGTCCCACCACTTAGTTAGTAGATACTCCGTACGGCTATGCGGATACTTTCGTCGTCCTCCATGAACGCTGGTCCTCACTGTACGTGAAGTAACAGTTGCAGATTACCGCGCTATAGGGTCACTGTTGTGATATATGTCTATCGTGTCAAGTATGAAATCGCGTCACATAATGTCGCCATGCCTATGTTGTACAGACGATGCGAAAGCATGAAGCCGAAGCCGAAACAAATCATACATGATTACCTGCCTAAACAAACTGATCAAGCAGCACGGACTCATGATGCAGTTGCTCTGTCTCTTGCTAGGATCTCTTCTACACGTCTCACCTTGTGGTCGTTGCCATCACCTGCGAGAATGTCACGATCTACGCGTGTACCAATGCGGATGTCGGTGGCAACTCGAGGGGCACCTTTGGCGTGTACTGCAGCATGGCAATCATGTATGGCTTTAGACACTTCGCTCCGAGGCCCCTCTGATGAGCGTTGTCACTGTCAGCAAAAAGCAAAGGTCGACCACCTGTTGCTACCGACCATGATTAGTAGCATATCCGCTGAGACATGTATCCTTATCAGAAGTTCAACATATAAATAAATGACTCGGATCTTACTGCATCTTAAAGCAAGATTGGTGAGACTAGACGAAACAGCTTGCACATACCCACCCTCACCTTAAATGTCAGGCCTGATTTTTCCAGGACTCTGTGGCACTCTGCGATATACTCTGCGACCTAGAACGTGTTATTTTGGAAGACATCCCGTATTTCTCGTGAACGTACAGAAGATTCTCCTGTTCCGATCGGGATGAGGCAGAAATCTAGACTAATGGTGAGCTCTTGAGTGATGATAATTTTACTAGAACTCAAACCTGCGACGGCATAAAGATCGTTTGGCATGTTGGTCGTCATTATCGAAGTGAAATACCCCCTTTTTTGAGCTTTTATAGGCACTCCGACGGAGAGTGCCGGAAGGGGGCCGAGGGAACGGAATAAATAACGTTTATGGGTTGCGCAGTGCGTTGAGACATAAGTCGGGATGCCTTCAGCAGCGCTGCAATCAAGGATCAAAGCTTTCGAGTCTTTCGCTGACCAGAAGTCAACAAAGTCGACCTCAAAGGTAGTCTTACAGGCGAAATATCCTCCATCGACCAACCTCCTTGAATCACCTATCTCACCTACCTCGGACTCCTTCTATCCAATTGCACCATTTACACCTCAAAAGTCTTTGAGCAGGTCACCGTCACCGTCGCCTCCCAATCTAGGTCGTAGAACTTCATTAATCGACCTGAAAGACTGGATTGTAGACGATGGTCCAAACACCGCACCGTCACACCACAACGGTAGACATCTCAAAGGCTTCCCGTGTCTCAGTAAAACACCCCTACCGATAGCTAACAAACCTGCTGTTGTCCGTTCAGCACCGATATCTTCAGCGCCACTCATTAACTTCGAGCTACCTCCTAAGTCACGGCTACCCCTCCCACCACGTAAACCTTCATACACGTTAACAGACGCCTCAATTTCCAATAGTTCTGTCCCTGACAGTAGTGCTACTCTTCGACCCCCAGGGCGCTCAGACTCCCTTACCGTAGAGCACACTTACCCCCCACCTCGGCCACATGCTTTTGGTTCGGCTCGCGTAGGCCACGCGCCTGCTTCTTCCATTTCATTCAGTATCGCTTTCTGATGGAAACGACCTGAAACAAACGAGTCCAATACTGTCCCGAAGGGGACATGCAGCGAGGTGAGTGATACATAGGGTATGAATTAGGCATTGGATAGCATCAAAGTGAGTATAAGATGCGACGTAGAGTGAAGTGGATGACGTCCAGCCATGAATCACAAGGCCTCTGACATGTCCGGAACTGAGCTCAGTATGGGTGTATTTTCTTTTTTCTATGTTTTCTTAGGATGTTTATCTGCATCATGATCATCGATGGCTTGTTGAATGGGAATGGAAGACGCATCCTGCGGTGTTCGATAAGCATCACGCGCACAAAAAATCTTACACAACCCACTTTCCCTTGATAAAGAAGGAACGATTATCTTTCTTCTATCAAGGTCTGACTACGGGAGACCATCACTTTCCTGTAATCAACCTGTACAACCTGTACTGGACCACTTATTCCTTATGTGACGTGTAGGTTGTTCTCGAACCTCCGTTCCTCGAGCCTAGGGATGAGTCTCCGAAACCGTGGTCGCGGTGGTTTCCCTGACCGGCTCCGATAATCTGAAACGATTTGTGGCGCTGACTTCATCCATTGAACTTAATGCAAGTTATTTACGAAGGCTGCTGGGAGTGCGGGTAATGAGTACTCAGTGGTGCCGTTTTGCAAAGTCACATGTCCGAATGCCGCAGCTGCCAGATCTGTGATCTGTCCCTTCTTTCGGTTAGGATGTCTAAGGTGCGCAATTCCATAATCTTCCATTCTCATTCAACAGCATGCAGAATGCATTTTTTTATATCGTCATGACAGGCGTGGCAGTACTGGCACGCAAACGGGCTGCTGCTCGCTGCAGCAGATCTGTGCGGTTCTATTGGGGTATGGTCAGAGGCGAGGTACGTCAAACCTTCCATGGTTTACGTGGAGAAGCAGTTGGCCATGTAAGATTTCGTGTCATGGATCATATCTGAAACAACTGCTGAAGTGGCACCAGTGCAGCTGTTGGACCTATGTACGCAACTTGTGGAGAAGCCTACGACTTACATCGTTTCGTCTTCACTCACCCAAGGTCAATTTGCAGTTTTTCCCGAACGAGTATCTCTTGAGCTCAACGTCGGACATTCAGTCAGGGTCCTCGATGGCTTTGATTTATCCTCGCACCAGAAGCGCACTGCATACTGGATTTGACTGTGAGTCCCTGATTGAGCGTAATTGGATCCCGGAACTTCTCACAAAATCGGTCCTCGAGGGTCACGATATTCAATCAATGTTCCACGTAAGTGCTATAATTAGAGTGCGTCATATTGCCTGTACTTCGTCAGTCAACTTTTACTCCCGGGTTTTGAAAAACCAACCTCACAAACGCTAACAACACTCTGAGTCTGACGTCCTCTACTCAAGAATGCTCAGCGCAATTTTCGCGTTGCTGAACCTAGGTGCCTCATTCAACAATCTTAATGATGCACTTAAACAGACCCCAATTGGCCCCATGGTCGACTCGGGATATGTGGCATACCCCAGCAGCCAGTTGTACCAAAATGCGGTCGACTTGGGATATGTGACATACTTTGGGGACAACCAGCCTGAGATGTATCCCAATACGGTGGCACACCTTGGGATACCATATGCAGAGCGCCCTGTAGGCGACTTGCGTTTCCGTGCAACTGTCCCCCTAAACACGACGCGTGTGACTGAAGAGGCCGGAGGGTCGCCGGTCGATGCGACCTCCTACCCTGACTTTTGTATCCAGGGACAGTTTGGTATGTGCGATTGCTGTCCTTACATCATCTTGCTCTCTGACTCTGTAACCCAGCTGGACAACCAGGAGGAGCAGGATCAGAGGACTGCTTAAATGTTAATGTCTACTCACCCTACGGTGCCAAAGAAGGCGACAACTGTATGTTTTAGGTGTCCTAGCTTGTTCCGCGTATTCTAATTTCTCACTATTGTGATGGGTCTATCTAGTGCCTGTGCTGTTCTATATCCATGGCGGAGGTAACATCATGTTATCAAGAACGACAGGAGCTATTTACTCATCTCGTTGTGACAGCTTGGATTTTTGGAAACCCACGTGGCTTTCCATTCGAGCACTGGGTCAATCAAAGCCCGAATGTCATTATCGTGTCTGTTTATTACCGCCTTGGTTCTCTTGGCTTCCTGGCTGCTCCCGAGTTCACCGACCCCGCATACGGCGACTTTAATGCCGGGCTCAGGGACCAGATCCAGGCACTCAAATGGGTGAAGTCATACATCAGTAAATTCGGGGGCGACCCGACCAATGTCACCATCAGCGGGCACAGCGCCGGCGGGGCCTCCGTGGAGCTCCACATGATCGTCGACGAGAGCAAAGGGCTTTTTTCTCGTGTTATTGCACAGAGCGTCGGTAGGTCGGCCCTTCCCACCCCTAAGCAACAGCAGGTATGTGAAATACCACTGGCATTAGCTCTCCATCTAACGCCCATTAACAGCCCCTCTTCGAATCCTATGCATCGCTTGCAGGATGTGAAAATGGTTCTGTAGCAGATCAAATGAAATGCCTCCGCGGTGCAAACATTAGCGCACTTGCATTTGCACAGGATAATGCACTCCATAGAGACTTGTGAGTTCTGTCCGCTCTATACGAGGCTTTCCGCAGCTGACGTGGTGGCATGGAATACAGTGGATACGTACCCATCGTGGACGGCTTACTGATTACTGGACACCCTACGACAAAGTTCCAGTGTGGTGAGTTCACTCATGTCCCGCTTATAGTTGGGTATGTTGGCGAGTCATTTTGGTACCGCGCTGTCACTGATACAAAAATCGATAGCTCAGCATCCAACGAGACTCTTTCCTTATCGCCGAAGCTCGATATCTCTACGGGACTTAAGGCATTTTTCCCGTCATTGACAGACACAGACATTCAGCAGTTCTTGGGGTTATATCCAATAGATGACTTCGATTCTAAGATTCAGCAGTTCCAAGTGGCCACAGGCGAACCTGATGTGATATGCGCTGTAAGTCTAAGCCTCACGCTACTGTGTAGTCCCTTGAATTATGCTAACAATACCCGTATCAGCCCCAGGCCATGGGCAACCCATCCTCACTATTCAAATACTTGGACTTATCGGTACAACACCCCTGACCCGACGTTGAATACCAAATACGTCACACATGCTGCTGAGAACTGGATGATGTTTAATGGCACTACCACTGGGTAAGACAAAGTCCATCCTAAATAGCCACACAGGCTGATAGAAATGCCATTTTAGTCCCAATGGCACCAGCACATTTGACCCACAGACGGACGCCCAAAAAGCATTTGCTTCTGAACTCATTGCTTACTGGCTTTCCTTCGTGCGCACCGGCGATCCGAATACTTATAAGCTGGACAAGTCTCCCGTGTGGGAGAAGTACTCTGAGTCCAACCTAGTCCGGATGGTTCTGACACAGCAAAACTCGGCCACTGAGAGTGGTAACGAAATGGAGATCCTGCCTCTTGCGGAGTTTGTCAGATGTGCATTTGCAATTAGCAAGGCGGAGGCTTGTCAACATTAGGCAGGATCGTAGTGACCTGTGCATGGTGCCCGAGCAGCCCAGGGAGAAGGAAGCAGTTGCGGTCATGGATATATGGAGATTTTGAGAGTGAAGCAGATTCGACGCCCAACTTGAAGCTGCAGTAGAATGCGATATCTGGGGTTGGTCGGTGAGCGCTGTCAGCGTAGGCCGTCGTTTTTAGTAGTGGGGATGGGCAACGCCTCTAAGAAAAGCGTGACATTATGTAATCAAAATTGTAGTAGTACGAGCGGCAAACTGTGGCAAACTGTGTACGGACAAGCCTTTTGACACTATCAAGATCGTAAGTACCTATAAAAATGCTGTATCGTTGAATTATAATCAATTCTAAACATTATGCATTAATAGCCATGGTCAACAAAACATAAGGGTCACTCATCATCATACTCATCCTCGCATCCAGGCATCCCCTGAGCATTGTTACTACCGTCTGGCTGCTCCATCGAGTGCTGCGTATCGTTTTTAGGGTGCGTTTCACCTCGTACGTAGCGCCCAACTGCATCCATCAATATCTCAACCTTTTTTGCTTTTCCTGATGGCGTGTTTTTTGCAGCAGGCACATCCTTGTCAAATCGACGATGCCACCGGATCTGCAGGTTAATTTCGTCGACGCGGAGCTTTTCGACTTCTGCAAGGGTCAAACGAGGCACAACTGCAGTGAGCTTAGCCTCTGCAGCATCCCGCCGTTCCTTCCTCCGCACATCCAGCTGCTTGTTCTTCCTCACCCGCTCCTTATCATAGTTAGCCTGCGCAACCCGCCGTTTTCGCTCATCACCTCGTGTATCAACAGCGCGAGCCTTCTTGAGCAACCTCTTTTGAGCCCCAGGCCGAAGGAAATTCTGTATGTAGGTTCCTGTCATGTTCTTCTTGTACATGAACCGAGAGTTGAGGTGTGACAAGGACATGTGCGGTGCTCGCCGCAAAGACGTACGGACTGTCCCTAGGGCGCCTTCGTTGTCGTCGTTTGTTGTTTTCATGTAAGCCATCTCTCTTTGAGCAGCGGATGACTTATCTATCACTCCACCAGCAGTGAACTCGCCACAAAAGCGGACCCAAGTGTCAAGAGCACCTTCCAAAAATGTGACAAGAAGACGACGAAGGTGAGGGTAATTTTTTTGGTCTTGGGCGATTCGTTGGATTGCGTAAAATGCCTCTGGACGCTCAAATGGCCTACCATCCAGGGTTGCTGTTTCGTGAGAGGCGCTCGGACCCAAAACAAGGTCAACATCCGCAATGAGACACTGTAGGTGAGCAATGACCTTGGCATGAATGGGCCCCAGGTCCAGTATGTTGGTGGATGAATTTCGGATGGTTCGTAGATACGGATGGGTGAGGCATTGGTTGTATGATGCCCAGCATGTAATTTCCTCCTCCGTCCTGAGACATGAGAAGCCTCGGAAGACATTCTGCTCCATGTTCGTGTGCGTCCGGCTTTCCTTTTTGAACAGTATGATCTCCAGGAACTGCATGTACCAAGATTTGTGAACAAGATACTCGCATGCGGCATCACCATGGCTGTGATAGCGAGTGTTACTTGTGTCGGGCCATTGACTGGTGAACCCTAACTCTGTCTCGAGATAATATCGAAGGGAGTTGTGTTGGCCCTTTTTGTCGTCCTTGTGACGAAATACACTGCCCGCAAGATCCAAAGTCTTCTGCCCACCTCCTGTTGACACCTGAACAGCCCGATCTTTGGCTACCGAGGAACCCACTGATGCTGCAGCCGAATTGTCCTTATTCATCAATAGGACAGGGCCGTCAACACCGTTCTGTTCCCACCATGCTCGCATCCTTGTATTCCCCCCTTTAGCCGCATTTAGCTCCTTATGCATGCAGCAGCCTGCCCACACGAAAAAGTCCACAGCCTCCTTTTCGGCACTTGAGAGGGATGCAAATTCTTTCTCTCCAAAGGTCATGCGCAGTTGACAGATGGCTTTGCTAGAATGGAGCTGCCGCTCATCCGGAGAAAGCAAATCCCATTGCTGATAGCCGCCCGCAGTCTCGATAACGTTTTCCATCATTTCCGAAAGTAGACGTACGACATCAGCCGGAGGTAAGCAGGCGAGTGCCTTTTCACCACGAACTTCTCGCTCGCATTCTCGTTTCCACTCTGCGAATAGACGAACAAGCTTCTTCTGGTCTTCAGCATGGTCGGTCAACATTCCTTTGACTTTTGGGGCAAAATCCCGAATGTCTGCAGCGTTGTGACCCCCCATGACATCATTGTAGGTGGAGTACATTTCATTAGCTCGATGTTTCCACCCTTGTAGCTGAGTCTCGCTGGTGTGGTTGACTTCATGCAGAATTCCTGCCAATCGAGTCGCAGTTTGCCCGTCCGGCAGAGTAAGAGTGACATGGTGGGACTGGTAATTGATATTTTTGTGGGTGGTACCATCTCCGCTTAATGTAACTCCTGTGTCGCAGGGGTTGGGGTCAAGATCTCTTTGACTCCGAGTCAAACAACTTGCATACCTCTTGCACGAGTGATCTCGTCAACTAGCTGTGTCTCCGCTGCAATGCCACCTTCAATCACCATCCGGCGAATACTGCGCTGGCTAACATCTCCCTCCACCTCAACACCTAATGCCTCCGCTACCACATTGATTGTGGCATTGATGCTCCGAAGAGGTATGTCCAGATTTGCGACCAAGTCTCGCACCATCGCACGGGATACATTTGTAAACACACCTTTCTCCTTGAGAGAAAAGGTGCTGGCAGCTTCGGTGGCAAGGATATCCTGTGCCTTCTCGTTCGCGCGTGTTTTTGCCGCCGAGGCACGTGTGACGCGCATTACGAGTGCGTGGTTTCGTTTGGTGAGCGACTTGTTTTTGTGGTGCAGGTGGCTGATGCTTTGCATAGCATTATCGAGATGCTCCTGTGTCTTCTTGGCTACTGCTGTGATCTCTGCATTTGAGGACTGCAACGAGTGCATCTGCATCTGCAGACTTGCAGCAGCACAGTCCTTTCGTGTGGCCCGCTTGCGCTCACTTTGGTAGTGCCTCTCGTAAGTAATGGCTTTCTCTTGTTGCACGGCGAGCTCATTTTGCGTCTGTGTTACAGGTCTAGGAGTGGTGTTGCCGAAATTTGGGTTATTCTCCTTTTCTGTGTGCGTCTTTGAGTTTAGGGATATAAGGTGAGCTTTTTGTTTGCTAGATCGTTTCTTCGAGGGATTATAGCGGTCACTTGTAATATATCTCCGTGCGGTGAGGGCCATTGTGCTTGGCTTGACGCGTCAAAACGCGTCGCGTCGCGCTTAATCTTAATTAGTCAGCACATATTTAATGTGCTCAAAGATCACATGGCCACAGATGATTCAGTCACACTATTGTGGTCAAATTGGTACGAGGGGCCTTTTTTTTATCCCAACTTTGTATTCTCTGAAAAAAATCAGGAAAAAAGCTGCATTCTACCCCATTTGAAAATAGGATCACTGCGAAAGCAACACCTTTGCATGTTTTTCCTCATAGAATACAAGCATTATCATATTTAATGTCCATTTGCTTCCAAGGTTTTTTGTTACGACGTGAATGTTAAACACTACCATGCGATATTTCTGCTAGACATTGATTCCAGCTGTAGAGCAGGAATTGGAAATCACGGTCGGAGTTTAAAGTTGGCAGGGTCTTGCCCATCCCCATTAGTAGAAGTAACGACACAGTGAATGATCATGACTACAGATACGCATGGTCAGTCTCATTGGAAAAGTTTGGTGCAGATACATACATTATTTGAGGGATGAGGCTGCTGAGACGCTATCTCAATTACCGGTACCGTGAATGATTTGTATTCGTCTTTTAAAGACACAGTAATTTCAATAGGCTATAGAATGTCCGTCAGTAAAGGTGGCTATTATTCAAGAAAATTAGATGACATACAATATTCGAATGAGCGAGGTGACAAGGTACTGCACCTGAAAACCATACTAGTCATCACCAAAATTACACAACCCAGAGATGGGTATATATGGCAATGTCGGAGCCACTATACCTGACTTAAGTATCTGGCAAACGTCCTCAATGTCAGACAATGTTAGGAAACTCAATTCTGCCATTCCGACTGTCATATGACAATACCCTGGCATTAGGCTGGTGTCCCGACATATCAGACATTGCTCGGTATATCAAGCATTTCAGTTTTGCTCAGATTGATCAGACATCACAACCTCGTTCTGATACAGCATTGCATTGCATTGAATTGATAATAGTACAATACATCGTCCCGAACCTATGTATGCGAATGCGGGAAATCAAGAGCAAATACCAGAACCGGGAGATGTGTGATCCATCGCACAAGTATATCGAGAAAGACGGTCAATCCGCTACCTAAAAAATTAAGCGATTAGTCAATTGCATGTAATATACATAAGTCACGAGCAAATACCTGCTAGCCAGCTTGCATATAATCTGCGTCGCGAGATGTAGCAATAATAGACAATGCGTATGTCGTGTTTCCCAGGATAGAGAAGACAAATAATCCGGGAGCGGTCCAGTGTGGTCAAGGAAGCGACAATTATGGCTGCTGCAAATCAACCTTAACCATCATCCACTCGTTCTCGTACTGGCACTTCTTCCGAACCTACAAGTTCTGCTTCGTCAGCTGCGACGGCTCTATGTGAAACCTACGCCAAAATTCTGAGGTTCGAACCCCGGACCTCTGGAGAGGTTCGGTTCTGAGTCTTGGCCGAACCTGGGACCGGACCATGCGTCCGGTTCGGAAAGGTTCAGGTTTGAACGGAACCAGACTGTGGCAGCACTAAATGTGATGGTCGTTGGCCTGGCCCACGGCGTGAAGTCGAGCCGCGCACATCACTAAGAGCAAGTAACTGATATAGTAGTAGCATCTGACAGATGATTTAGGTGCATAATACGCGCATATATGCGCATATACTTACCATATCTTGAGTTGCAAAGATTTCCGAGGGTTGGTGGCAGTTGCAGAGTACAGGTTTCAAGCTTCCAGCCTTCCACTGATAACGCTCATGAGCTCGAGTAACAGGATGGTGACAAGGAAGAAGAAGAAGAGGAGGAGGAAATAGAGCATTCACGACGCCCCATGCATGATGATAGGACTCATGGGAGAGAGACTCAGAGAGATGTGACGAGTTGACGCGACGCATTATGTAATATTGTGCACATGAAATTGATTGTCCTTGTTTGTTCGTTACGGTAGGAAAATTGAAAGTAAGGTCAAAGTGTGTATAAGTAAATATCAAGATTAGACAAGTATAAGAAGTAAATCTTCGGTTCCAGCGGGTCACCTCAGCGAAAGTACGGTCACAGACCTACGAAATTTCAGATTGGTGACGAAGTTGTCGGACGAGGTCCGAGGAACTGAAGTTGTTATTTGACACATGCAGTTTTCGTTCATTTTCGTATTGCATCACTCTATATAATACATTGATGTATCTGACAGCTACACTACTGGATGAACTATGTCTGACAGACAGTGTTTGTTCTGACGATATTTCAAATGTCAGATATGACATATGTGTGTCTTTGGTGGCGTCAGAAAATTGACTATATCATGTGATGTCTGGATTTGGTAATTTTGGTGATGTAAGAGTGACAAAGGCTGTAGAATGACATCTTTTGATTCAGCGAGTCGCATATCTGGATAGAAGATTGAGCTTGAAAGATGATGAGGTTGAAGAATTGTTGTGTTTGACATGATGTCTCCAGTCCTCAGCACTTCAGCCCTCACTGCTGTTGATGGGACTTGAACAATTTGATTTGGACAAATCTGGATCACATGAACTTGTAAACCCCTTTTTCAGTTCATAACACAAGTCACAATCGCATGCACCTGGTCTGTGCACTCATGCTCTTCCTGTGGGGCATGTTGAAAGATGTATGATAAATGTGAGGTATAGCACTGGCACTGACTCTGGTGTCGGAAAGTCTACCCTTCGGTCACTTTCCCTTGGATTCAAGTCTCGGCAACACATATCCCAACTCGACAATGTTCTCCCCAACCTGTTTGCACTCTGGCCTGTACATACACTGTTTTTTTCCCTCTCTCTCACTGGCTCAAGCGCTCACACCATGCACAACATCAAATTCCATCCAAGACTTCAAAATCCCCTCAGTTTGGACTTTGTCAAAATTCTCCTAAGGAGTCACGTGATCTGAAAGAGTTGCTTTCAAATCATCAAGTCCAATCATTGATTGATCATCACACTGCAATCACTCGACAAAAGGTATCATGTCGGCCATACTGCCTGTTGATGGTATAAGTAAGTCTTGCACTTAATGTGAATAGCGTTTACTGATGTTTAATGCAGTCGTGCAGTTTTGCAGAACATCTCAGGTTGTTTGCAGAGCCACATGGACCAGACCACGAAGTAGTACCAGTCATTGATCTCTGGGATGCAATCTCAAGCAGTCCTTTCTACCAAGTCAACAAGCCATGTGATTTGTACAAGGAGTTGCAGTCTGCCCTTGCTTTGGGGGAACAATTATTTTCCATGCCGCTTGCCCCAGTGAGTAAAGAGATCAGCTTTGATGATGAGACAGAATCAAACTTTGGGATCAAACTTTTAGGTGAGACACTGTTTCATTCCCTGCAGGAGACTTATTTACATTATTAGATAATTGTCCATTGACCGCCTCGCGTGATACAAATCTAAACTGTCCAGTTTCGCCTGACAATCCAAATTATCCTTGGCCATCAAAAGCTGTATGTTTCAACATCTTCGTGCATTTATTTTCACTGCTAACCTATCATTTAAGCACTATATTACCACCTTACTATTTAGTTCTCCAAGGCTGCTGTTCTCCAAGGCACAGAAAAAGGCGGTTCTATCTTGGGCAAAGGAGCTTGGCAGCCCATAATATTCCCTTGCTATATGCATTGAATTGACTCCAGGAATCTGTTCGAACACTTGTCAGCAATCCAATGGAAAAAATAACTGCATGTTCAGGCAATATATTTTATCTCAATGATGTTGGAAAAGCAATTGCCAAGGTATGCAGAATCTCAAACATGATCTGATCTCTCAACACTGACTTCAAATGTCCTCATTTAGGACTATGCAAACCCTCTCACGCATTTTGCGATGCAGGATTACCCTGAAGACAGGGGCAAGGGAATGTTGCAGGTGTTCAATGGAGAGAAAATGCTGTTTGAACTCCCTTCGCCCCCTGCAGTTAAAGTCGATGGAGAGATCTACTTTGTGAATGAGCTCCTGCAGGATGCATTGGGAGATTACTTTATACCTAAGTGCTTCTTTCTTGCATCATACATGTCGACAAATGATAGTGTGGTGTGGGGAATACCCCCATTGTAGGCATAAAACCCTGTCCTTTCCGCATCGTCTCACATCACATATTCCGCATATTCCGCGTTTCCTGCACATCATCCAATGGGTTCCGCATTCCCGCGCATCCTTCAGAACGCACCCACACTATCCGATGTGTTCCGCATTCCTGCGCATCATTGGATAACCTTCGCATGTCCTGTCCCCATCCTTCCAGGTCCATTGGTACACTGTATCTCTCTTCCCATTGCTTCTCACGTTATCCGGATCACATTGACACATGCCCTTATGGCACAGGACCCCTATTGCGGAGTATTGTGCCCTTGTGCACTGCCTGCCTTCACTTCCGCTTCCTGAGAAATTACTACCTGTACCTCAGTGTTCCTTGAAAATAATGTTCCCTATAAGTAGTGGTACTCAGGGCTTGGGTGTTTTTCATCGAATCTCATCTCTTACCTTCCGACTTTTCTCCGACTTTTCCTTCACCTTACTAGAGGACTGCTTCAACTTATGCTTACTATCAATCTAAACTTGTGACATACTTCCTTCAACTTGATCCACAAGTTCCAACGAGTCTGTACGTTCCGTGCTTTATCCGTTTGAGTTCTGCTTTGTTCTGTTTCATTCCGCTTCATTCCTACTGAGTTCTGCTTGTTCCGCATTTTTGCAGATCCTCATCCTACCTGCAGTAGGGTTGATTAGGGTCATTTAGACAGAGACTAGTACTCCCCAGTAGCAATCCCCTTTAGGGTCGAACGTGCTTGTTCTCAAGTGAGGCAGCAGGAAGCAAAGACCCAACTTTGTAGTAGATTGATTTCTTGCTGCTGCACTTGTTGTACCCACAGCAGACAAGCAGTTACATGCGCTTGGCCGTGCTGTACAATGAACACAGGTGAATCTGTTCTTTGCATACTTTCAATTTTGCTGATAGACTTAGGATGGGTTTATTGTTAGTGACGAGCAGGAGATGATTCTGACATCTAACTTTCAAAGGTCATTCAGGGAAATATTGGCCAATGATGATGAACTTGCTTGTGGGCTGATGGAGTCATCAAACAAGTATGCAAAACTCGTGCAGAATTCATTGTGTGCGAAATCTCAAGGATGTATGGTGTATTTGGTCCCTCTTATAATCTTTATGGACAATGTATCCGGAAATATATCCAAGCAGTGGAATAAGCACCATGTGATATACATGTTGAACATGAATCTACCTCGTGAAATGCTCGAGAAAGAGTTTTGGATTTGATTTGTCACATCATCTCCTCACGCAGCCCCAATGGAAATGATGAGTGCCATGCAAGAATCAATTAGGTACGTGATACTTATAATGTGCTATAGCAAAACATGACACTGGTGATCATAGCAAAGCTGTGGAATCTGGGGTCTTCACTTGGGACTGCAAGCACAAAGAAGAAGTTATGCTGGAGCTATATGGTCTGTTTCTCGGCGGCAACAATCCCATGCAGGCTGAGGAATGCAGCCATGCAGGGTTGCATTGCAACTACTTCTGCAGGACATGTGAAGTTGGTGGAACAAAGGAGTACAAAGAGTCAGATGAGGGCTACAAGAGCATCTTCGTGGTATGTAGCATACTCTTGCACTACTCGTCATCATGTTGACTGACTGTCCAAGTAGCCAGGAAAGCTTTGCACTCCTGCAGGAACAGCAGAAGAGATTTGCACACAATTTTCTTCTGCACTCTTATTGGGCATGTCAGAGAAGATTAAGAAATCTGTTGCTTCATCAGGTGTGAATGACACAACAACTGGTTACATTCTTGAGACAGTTGTTGAGCTGGGGAAGAAACTTTGCAAATGGGGTGCTGGCGTTCAGGCAAAATCAGAGACCAAAGTCAAGGCTATTCTAGAGAAGCAACTTGAAGACCTACTGCAAGGGAGCACTCTCGAGGATGCAATAAATCTGTTGCTGGGTGTGGAAGGTAACATTTATGTCCGCGTTTTCAGCTTTACATTGACCTTTCATCAGGATTCAACGTTCATCAGGACACGCCAACCGAAATTCTCCATACAGTTTTACTGGGAGCCATCAAATACTTTTGGGGTCAATTCATGTATCTTCTTGAGAAGGCAAAGCTTTTGGACATTTTTCAAATGTGTCTCAACTCTATCGAGAAGGCCGGACTCAATGCTCCATGTCTTAATGCTGAGTATATTTGCCATTATAAGAGTGGGCTCATAGGGAAACACTTTAAAAGTTTGGTGCAGGTCATGCCATTTCTCATTCAAGACTTACTGCTGAGAACAGTACTTGATGGCTGGACGTGTATTGGTGAGCTCGTTGTGTATGTTTGGCACACAGAGATAGATGATATAGAGATATACTTGGTATGATCGCACTCTGACACTGCTGCACCAATGCTGATTGAATCATAGACAAAGCTTTCCTGGACAATTGAGGATTTCCTCAACGTCACAGCAAAATGCGCACCAAGCATTCTCATCTCAAATCCGAAATTTCACTTTTTGGTCCATCTTCCTGCATATATCCGATGCTTTGGACCAGCCATTCTCTTTTCCACTGAACAATACAAGTCGTTCAATCACATGTTCCGGCTGGCATGTATACATAGCAATCGACAAGGTCCAAACCAGGATACATGCAGAGTATTTGCAAGGCAAGATATCATCAAACATATTGTGACCAGTGGTTACTGGTTTGATAGTGTTAGGAAAAAGTGGGTTCAGGCAGGTGATGCAGTTGTGAACTACCTTGACTGAGCATCCAGAACAAGCGCAGCTTTTGGGAATTCATCTATGAGAACCTCCTGTGACAGGTAATGTGTTCATTGAATACCCAGCATCGTGGATTGTAATGTTTATTACTAAAGGAACCAGTCAACTCAAGAAAGTTGCTACTGAAGATGGATGGCCTGTGGCACTGTGCTGTGGACAGCAACATGCTGCACCAAGGCCCTCAAGCTCTCACAACCTGCCTGTAATGCTCAATACCGCCAAGGCATCTCATTGATTCTTGGCAATGGTGAGAAAGTGTCCTTAGAAGGTGATATCATTTTTTTACGACTCATCAACATCCCACTCAGCCATTGGGCACATTTGCAAGATCCTGATCTCAGACTCTCACAAAGTCGTGGAGCATGTCGCTGTTCAAAAATTTGCTTTTGGACCTCCCTTGCTTCACCTCCCCACTCTCGAGCTCACACAGCATAAGGTTGTTATTAGCCCACAAGTAAGTTTGAACATGATCCTTCAATCAAGCTTATTGACATGCTGACGTGGTGAATCTAGGAAATTGTTTGTATAGTAAATGTCCAGCACGACTGTGTCAAATCACAGTGCACAAACACCAGTCAGTGTTGCATTCGTCAAGAGCAAACAGAGACTGCACATACGAAGTCCATCATTCAGCACAAATCCTCACCGTTTTACTTGCTCAATGCTTATTTGATTCACAACTATGCTCAAATACGATCTGTCATTCCTCTGTCACTTTGCAAGACATCATTGAGGGTCGATAATGCAGCAGAGGTTCGTTTGGCAGCACCTCGTCAAATCCAGGAGAAGAAAGCAGCCAAGAAATCAGGTGAAACACCAGATACTGAGCCTTTGAGTACATTGTGTGATGACATAGCTGGGGTTTCTGCAGTGTTCGACCACCCAGCAGCAAAACGAACAAAGAAAACACAGAAAGCAAAAGAGAAGGCACCTCCGCCACACACAAATCCACAACAACCCACAATCACACAGGCAGCTGCATCTTCGAGTTCCCATCTCCCAGTGCCCGTGCCTTCTCATCTCCCATCACTACATCTGCCTGCTACTGTACCTTCACAGTTGCAGCAATCCCTCATACCCCCATATAGCGCTCCCCATTCACATAACCCTTTGCAGCCGCCCCCAATGGTATTGATGTGGCAATCATCTCCTGCACTTGGTCCACCTAGACCTCTACCTTCTCATCCTTGGCCATCAAACTCACCTTCCATGGTACCACCAATGTATCCTGGGCAATATGGTGTCCCACCATATCAGTACTCTTCAGGGCTAGCTCTTCCAAATCCCTCACACACACACACACCCTTCACCCGCCCCATTCATGACAACTGTCGTATGGACAGCAGCTTCCCTTGCAACCTTCCGTGCCAGTGATGACCTCACATATCTGGCACCCTCAGGCTCCACATCACGACCAGTCCAATAGACGGTACTAGAAAGAATCACATAACTCTCCATTCTTACAAGACACTAGATTTGCACTCTTAAATGCTCACCACCTGTCCTTGAAATTCTTCCTCCAGTGTTCGAGGCCCTCCTTTGATAAGTTCCCCATGTAGTTGTAGTGCTGTCACGAATTCCAAATATGAATCATTTTTTGTTCCTCAGCTTTCCTCCAGCTACTTCTAGTTACCGAACCGGTCATGTGACTTCACTTCCCATTGCTGTCACGAATTCCAAATATGAATCATTTTTTGTTCCTCAGCTTTCCTCCAGCTACTTCTAGTTACCGAACCGGTCATGTGACTTCACTTCCCATCACATCTTCACCTCTTCACATATCACCTGTTGTTTCTCCGATTGGTTCCCCAACTCCATGGGCTAGAACAATCTCACTTCCGAAAGAAGTACCAGTCGGATCTTGGGCTTCTATTTAGTCACCGTCTGACTCATCACTTATATATCATGATGTCATGCTCAGTCATCCGCAGTATCATATGACTCTTTTATGATTGGCTGATTTCTTTCATACTCAGATATCTCCTCTTCAATGTTATGTATATAAGTAGGTTAGTTAGCGTAAGTACTCCTTAGACTTAACCTCTTTGTTTCTACACTTGTAGTAGACTTAGATGTTCACGCTCAATCTATCTTGTGATCATCATCATCACTCTTGACCGAGTCCTAGTGGTTGTGTGTTAGACTTTGCCATTTGGTGAACTCTAGTCATAACAAGCGCACAATGATGTTGTGCCTCCTTGTCCTCCTTCCAGGATGCTTGCGATGTCCTTGGGGGTGTGGTGAGTGTGAGAGGGCTGGAGTGGTAGGCTTGGGTTGGGCAGGCAAGAGTACTGGATGATATGGAGGCTGCAAGTGGTTGTGCTGTTATGGGTGTGAGTACAAGAGGTTCTCTGGCGCTACAAGATCACAGCATAGCCACGAACCAAGACAGAGGAATGCATGGGTCGATAATGGAGACAAGTGGTTTTTAGTAAAGTGTAGAAGGTGCTGGCCATGCGAAAACACTTGTTCGACTGCAGTTAAGGTAGCTATGGTGGGCAGCGCATAAGCTGTGATGCCAGTGAGAGTGATGGCGCTCAACTTACCAGGAATGCTAAGATAATCAAGTGCCATACAGTGCAGATTTGGATACGTCTTTTGGTGGTGCACCCACCTACTGCAGTGGGTCTTTGGTATTCTCCACTGGTTGCCGCGGCCCACAGGTAGTCATTGAGCTCATCTACTACTAGAGACCAAAATATAACACTACGAAATAGCCTCGGAGATAGGGGGCTACCCGTGAACATACCTGTATACCATGCGGATGGGTATGGTGTGGCCATGGGTAGCCACAGGTTCCTGTCATACTTATGCATGAATCCTTACAATTGTAACACTATTTTGATGCAACAATGCTACAGTCCTAACACCATTTGATGCATGTGTGATGTGTGCCCCCTCCAGTAGTAGCCTGTATGATGTGATGCATCCCTCCCTTCAATTGATGCATCCCCCTGCTGCTCATTAATGCATCTCCTCCCTTCAATTGATGCATCCCCCTGCTGCTCACTGATGCATCTCCCACCCCTCATTGATGCATCCCTCCCACCCTACATTGATGCATCCTCCTGCCCGTTGTTAATGCATCCCTCCCACTCTTCGTATCCTCCCACCCCTTCAATGGATGCATTGTTTATTCAATTGCATAGCTATGATACTGTACATTACACACGGGTGAATGGATACATACTTGTTAAGGATGTCCCAGACTGAGAGAATTAGGATCAGCATGGAAGTGGTCTATGAATGCGCATGTGTCTTCCCAACTGGAACAACATGTGACTGACAGTGCACAATGAAAAGCTGCTTGATGCCGAGCATATGCGATCTTGCCTTCTCTTTCTGCAGGACCCTTGGACCAGCTCTGATTTGCGCGCTCATCCCAAGACATGGCTTGCCAATCAAAGAACTGTAGGATCCTCCACATCTCCTCCCGTAACAACTCAACCTCCTCCTTCCACCGCATTGCACACACCCTGGCTTTGCATCATTCAATTTTCATATCTGTAAGATGTGTGCTGAAGTGAGATGGGGTGGAGTAATGAATCTGTAAGTCCACATACCTTCCATAGATCCGTCATTGCCCAACTCATCTCCATGTGCACCCCACATATTCCAAATCCAAGACAACTTGCGCCTTCCCTCAGTCTGGCCCCACAAAAGATCTGACATTCCCCAGATATCTTCATGATTGAGTGGCCACAGAGAGGAATGGCAGCCTGTCTCCTTGACAAGGGGAGCGAGAACGACCAGTGCCTTGTGCGCATCCTGATATCAGCTCAATGCTGCCTTGATCCTTCCATTGATCCCTTTGAGTGTGTTATGTGCTCTGGTGTTAGCGCCTTGACCATGGAGGTTCCAGTCCTTGTACTTGAGGACAGCAGTTTGCGTGTGGAGATTAGAGCATAGGGAGCGGAGGGTATTGTGGGCTTCTGCATATCAAAGTTTCCACTCAATGGTCTGGAATTTGAGGTCATAAGTAGCAGTTCTGCCAACTTGAGAAGGAAGCAAAAGCTGGAAAGATTTGGGAGTGATGACATTGTTGGACTTGTCTCGTCGTAGGGCTGTGACCATTGGCATGTACAATTCTTGGACTTTGACCCAAGCCTCAATCTGGTGCTGAAGATTGTTACTGCGTTGAACGAGCTTTCCTACTTGGGTATCTGTGGCATGAATGCCCAGACCTGCCTTGTCAGCTGCAAGACATCGTCTGAAGCATTTTATTAGTAAATATTCATTTAGCCGAATATCAATATCACTTATTGTTGTTCTTCGAGTTCAAGTCCACTGCTAATCAGCGTGCTAGGTGAACAATCTTCATGCAGTGCATGGGAGCCATCAAGTTCTATTTCCGATGCCTCCTCTTTTGCGAGTTCGAGATGCACAAAGGCAAGGGTGATACCTGTATTAGATACTACGCACAAATAACACTGTACTCACATTCTATGCTTTGTTCATATGGGTTCGGCTGGGAAGGATCACACTCCCATGCTTCAACCTCCTCTTTCCACCTGCTCAATGCTTCTGAGTATTCTTCTTTCAGCCCTTCTTTGAGGTCATCCAGAGCCACTTCATGTTCCGATAATTCGGGCAAGGCATCTTTTATCTTGCGCAACATTGTGTGACCTATCTGTGCATTAGTGATGCATCAGTAAGCAGTGCCTCTCAATGTAAAAATAACCTACGTAGATTAGTGATCTTCCTCCAATTCCAATCCCCAAAAAAATCATCCAGTGTGTCCTGTCTCATGCCTGGGCCCATCTCTTTGGTGCTCGATGCCATGGGGTTGATATTGCCCACCCCTGCTCAGGGGCTTCTCTGTCCATCCATCCAATGCCAGGCACAAAATTAAATGAGAATGTCATTTGACACTGTTGAATATGAGCCAGCAGGTGGAATTTAGGGACAAAGAATGTAATTTTCTTGTTGTCATGGTTCAGCTGCATGGAAGGGGGAAACGATGCCATGCAGTGTGGATGAGGAATATAGACCCTGTGTGATTCAGAAGTCTAACAAGGGTGCGAGACTTGGTACTCGTCCCAAGGGAATTGCTTTTGGGTAGTGGGATCCTCAAGTATGTGCAAGGAAAGCAAAGACTAGACTCTGTCTAGCGACCCAAAGGGTTCCAGTCCTTACTAGGACTGGGAACGCAAAGATACGGAGGGTCCATGACGAGCGGAACACAGCGCGCGACAAGCGGAACTAACGGAACTAATGGAACTAACGCGGAACAAACAGAACAAATGGGGAACAAACAGAACAAATGGGGATCAAACGGAGGGAAAGGAAACTACAAGCCTGCAGGAGGATGATTGGGCAAAGTCGGACCAGGATTGTGTCTGGTACTTGCTCCAAGTCATTGGATGCGATGTCGGGCGTCTTGAGCGGAACTCACAGGGACGGGAACAATGCAATGAGATCAGGAATAGATTCAGGAAGATATTTTAGACAGTGAGTGGAGTACAGGGAAGTACTCTGTAAGTGGAAGTGGAGTCCAGTCTATCAGAAGGTAAAAAAACTAAGATCCCATCTATTGCTACCTATATAGGAAGGGGTTCTGAAATGCGCTATGCTACAACTGGGTGAGGCTGTGAGATAAGGAATTGGTCCCGAGTAGCGGAAGGATCCGTATAAGTACCATGACACATGGGAAATGAGATAGGAACATGTTAGTAACATGGGGAACGTAGCTAGTACTCACCAGCGAGGATGGAAGGACAAGGACAGGATGGAGGAGGACGTTCCAAAGGCTAAAAGGATATGATACGTGTGGTATGCGATTGTTCTGCTGGGTTCCGCTTGGTTCCGTGTAGCGGATGGCTCGGGGAAGATGCGGGTGGGTAGCAGGATGGTAGCAGAATGCACAGGAAAATGGTGGGAAGGCATGGGAATTATACGGGATACAGGCCTACAGTGGGGATGTTCCCCACACCTGCGGGGGACTCAGATACTGACCGTCCCCGGTCAGCACTATAGTAATTGACAGGACTTAGCAGCATTTCTTCTAAAAGAGTCACATGACGTGGCTGAGGAAGCATGATGATGATGATGTCGCGCGAGAAGTTAATGGAATGATGGAACGGAACACGATCGAAGAAGCTCAATGGGAATGATGTTGCGCGAGAAGTTAATGGAACGAAGGGTCGGAACACGACCAAAGAAGTTTGATGGCAATGATGTTGCTGCGGGACGGAGGAACAAAGGGTCAGAACGCGGCCTAAGAAGTCTGATGGTAATGCTGTCGCGCGGGATGATGGAACGAAGGGCCGGAACGCGACCAAAGAACCGGTTCCTCAATGTAATGGGGAATGAAGGATAAACATGGGCGCTCCTTGCATCAGCCGCTTCTTTCTGTCAACTTTTCACCCCCAATCGCCCACTAAGTCCCCTCTCACAACTATGTCTTTTAGCTTTGCTGCCTTCACTCCTCCTGCACCCCTCGACTCAGGTAAGGATTGGATCCTCGCGGAATGGAAGGAACTGGAGGATAGGGTGATTGCTGAGGCGAAGTGCATTCTGGATGATAAGGAGGAGCTGCAGGAGGAATGGAGGATGTGGTGCGAACGTTGGGCTGATATTATGGTGAGTGATCCGTCTATTCCATTTGATACGGAACATTACCCCTCCGCTTCTAGAGAGTGCTATCCGACTGCACTGACCTGGGGCCGCGCCCAGGACGTTGTCCTCACAATGTCCGGTGAGGCAAGGGCCGCTGGGGTCGGGGCTAATGAGCAGTACGAACAATGGGTTCGTGAATGAGGCGCCCTCAAAGTGCGCACGAAGGATTGTGAGTCCCGTGAGGTGCAGATGGGTATTGACTCCCCCCCGCGCACCCGCACCGGATCCGCCCCTGCGCAACCACCTTCAACGGACAGGACGGGTGGGTCTGCATCCCTTGCCCCCCGGATCAACCGTATGAAGATGGAGGTAGCTATCCTGTCCAAGGTAAGTCTATCCCGTCGCCTCATGTTCAATGCTAATCTGACTTAGTCTGCCATTGCTCAGAAGACCATTACTCACGATCCGCCCTGCGCGCGTTGCATCAAGGTAAAGAAGGAGTGTGTAGGTGAAGAGAAGCGGTCCTGTAATGGGTGTAACGCGGTTCATCAGAAGTGTGAGTATGCTTCATTTGGAAAGGCGACGGGTATGTGGTCTGAGTTCCGGTTGTGTTCTGGTTGTGCTGATGGAGTGTGCAGATAGGTCTTAAGGGCAAGGTATTGGATGCGCCCACCCTCTCTGCTAGTGCTAGCGGATCCCTCTGTCGGACCGTCTCATCTCCCGGTTTGGCTGTTCTATCTGGCAGTGAGCCGGAAATCGTCGAGGCCCCTGTGAAGTGCGCCACCCGCAACACGCGCAAGGCAGCGGAACCTAAGGGTAAGGGTAAGGGTAAGGCGAAGGAGGTCGTCCCTGCCACCCCTACAGTCGGGGAGTTGTCTGATGAAGTGTCGCACTATGAGAAGGGCGAAATCATGAAGGTTCAGCATGAGTTGCGTGTCCTGAAGGGCCAGCTCATCAGCCTCTATGAGTCTGCCTACAAGATCTCGACTGAGGTGGGTCACTTGGAGAGGCATCTTGGGGGTCTCCTCTAGTTAGCGGATCTACCCCCCTCCCATATATACAATGTCTTCAAATATCCGTCGTCATATCTTGTACAATGTATGCGTTTTCTTGGTGTTCCGTCTGGGTTCCGCATGGGTTCTGCATGGGATCTGTCCTGGTTCCGTCCGTGTCCCTATCCAGATCCTCACTGATGCTATGGGATAATGGGACTATAAGTAACATATAAGTGGGTATGAGTCGGGAGGGAGAAATATAACACTGTGAGCCTGTGGACTACACGTCCAACTTGTCTTCATCGATCCGCTTCATTCCTCTATTCCTCACCCGCCGTCCGCGGATCCGACGGGCTTTTGTCTATTATCGAATGGAACACTTGGGAACTACAAACGTGCATGGTGCGGCTTCATGCAGGAGAAGTAAAATGGGTCCTTGTGGTTTATGCGCACATGTATAGTCTAATTGGATCGAATGGCAAATACAGTGGCTCAAAAAACTGTCCACATGTTTTCACATTTTTCACTATCTATGATATTGTGTGAGAATATACAAACACCTCAAGGACATGCTGGTATCATATTGTAGCACCACTTCAGGGCTTTCAATTGAGCACTATGGCGTGGGAATTGGTTGAGATATGGTTGAGATATGAGGCTTCCAAAATGATGACTCATGCGGACAGTTTTTTGACTCAAGTATTTTACAGTGATAATCAGGTATTCTAGTACTCTGTGTGACCTCCCTTGGCTTTAATTACTGCCTCTATCCTTCTAGGCATACTCTCGAAACTATATCTAACTATATAAACCAGAATGTTTCATGTGTCATGATCATAATCACCATTAAAGCCATCTCCTCTGCTCAAAGGGATAATATCCTCTCTTTGTCCTATTCTGGCCTCTCTGCTCATCAAATTTCCTCTAAAACTGGAGTATGCAAGTCTACTTTGGCCAATTTTATCAAAGAAAGCCACCTGGACAAGGAAAACTCTTGTGGAGGATGTCCACCTCTACTAATAAGAGGGCTATTATTCAACATATCACTACAGGAAAGGCTGATAATGCTGTCCAAGCCACCCATTATATCAATTCCACCATCACCACCACTGTCTCTTCACAAACTGTGAGGGATGTTCTCAAGGCAGCTCATCTCAAGGCAGTAACAAAGAAGAAATGCCTCTTCTCTCTATCAAACATAGGCAGAGAAGACTACCTTTGGCTTGGCCCATTAAAACTGGACTGTAGAGCACTGGAAGCATGTTATATGGTCAGATGAGACCAAAATCAATAGGATTGGGTCAGATGGGAAGGTATATGTATGGAAAAAGAAGGGAGATTCTCTAACAGACAGAGAGGTTGGTGAGACTGTCAAATTTGGAGGAGGTTCTCTAATGGTACAGGGCTGTATTGGATGGAATGGTGTGGGTATGCTTGCTGAAGTTGAGGGGAGGATGGATGCTGAGCAGTATGTGGACATTCTAAATGACCACTTGCTGCCTAGCATAGCTGAATCAGGGATTGATGAAGAAGACATCATTTTCCAACAGGCTAATGATCCCAAGCACACATCTAGGAGAGCCAGAAAATGGTTTGAAGAACATAATATCAATGTTCTTGACTGACCAGAACAGTCCCCTGATGTCAATGTCATTGAACATCTCTGGGGAACACTCAAGAAGAAGCTTCAAGCCTCTGAAACCCCCCTAAAGGAGTATGGGAGCTATGGGAGAGAGTAGCAGTGGAATGGGGAAGGATTGCAACAGAATATTGCCAGAAATTGATTGAGAGTATGCCTAGAAGGATAGAGGCAGTAATTAAAGCCAAGGGAGGTCACACAGAGTACTAGAATACCTGATTATCACTGTAAAATACTTGAGTCAAAAAACTGTCCGCATGAGTCATCATTTTGGAAGCCTCATATCTCAACCATATCTCAACCACTTCCCACGCCATAGTGCTCAATTGAAAGCCCTGAAGTGGTGCTACAATATGATACCAGCATGTCCTTGAGGTATTTGTATATTCTCACACAATATCATAGATAGTGAAAAATGTGAAAACATGTGGACAGTTTTTTGAGCCACTGTATATAGCGGGAATCTGTAGATATGTAATTTCTTTCTTTTTAGTATGCGGGGCGGATAGAGACGGAACTGAATGGAACTGAACAGAATGAGAAGGATCGAGAGACGGATCACCGGATGAAACCCAGGGTAAAACAGAGAGTAGTACTTCTATGATATATTTTTTTGTTTTGATGGTATTTTTGTTATGAGTGTCGGGTGGTATGGGGATGATGATCATTATGCACTGGGGTCAGGCTCGGGTTCTTCTTCGTCTGGCTCGTCGGCATCTCCTTCAGCCAACTGGTCTAATGTGTTGTCCTCTAGTCCAGTGATAGTAGTAATGGGGATGCGGATTGCACTGTGCGGGTGGTACGGGAGTATGCGGAATGCTGCATAACGAAGTCGCGATATGGACCCGTCCAGTTCTGCCAACAGATACAATCCTCCCATCGTCCTACGAAGGACTACCATCGGTCCTAGGTACCGGGGCTTCGTCTTCCTATTCAGCTCAGACTCGATCCGCGAGTTCCGGACTAGTACTAAACTTCCCGGGAGGAAGTCATAATCCTTGATGGAGGTGCGGAACCTCGCTTCAAAGTCCTTGATGGATTGGTACCTCGCTTTGAGGACTTTACCCTTAATCGTGTCAAGGTCCTCCTGACGCTTCTGGAGTTGTGTTGCGCGCCATGCTATAAGCTCTGTAGAGCAAATTGAGTCTTTCCTGGGCGGGGATACGAGGTAAGTTGCTTCAGTGATATCAAACAGAAAGAGGGGCTCGACCCCATGTACCATGAAGTACAGGGATAGTCCGGTGGACTTCTAGATAGTTACCTGCTCCGCCCAGAATACAGAGTGCACAGATTGGTACCAATGCGACTCATCCCCCTCGCAACTTTTCATGATGGCCTCCCGGACATCATAGTGCCTATGCTCCATGATCCCGTTTGCCTGTGAGTTATAGGGGGAGATCCAGATATGATGGATCCTGTACTGCTCGCGTAACAAATCTACTGCTGCGATGAAAGGGGTTCCGTTGTCAGTAATGATTTCTGCTAGAGGACCCCACCAGCAAAGAATGTCCTCGAAGATAAACGCGGCTAGCATCTTCATGGTTTCAGTGCGGAGCATCCTCCATTCCAGATAGGAAGTCAGTGCACAATGCACTTGGACTATGCGCGTATACCCGCCCGCTTTGGGCATCATCATGGTATCAAGGTGGGCCTTGCGGAACAGGCCCCCGGGTATCGGAACGGAGGGTGGGATATGTAACTTGCGGGTCTGACGGATCTAGCATTCGTGACAAGTCCGGAGGTACCACTTGACGTCATCGACCAGGGTAGGCCACCAGAAGCGTAGGAGAAGGCGGGTCCGGACAGTGAAGACACCCTTGTGCCCAAGGTCGTCATGCGCCTCCTTTACTATCCGGTACCTCTTCCTTTCCGGAACCACTAATTGATGCCTCCCATGGGGTTCCCATTGCCACATCGATCCTTTGAGAACGAAGAACCGGGATGTGGACATCACAAACGACGTATATTCCATATCTGATAGGGCCTCGGGTCGTTCCCGGGTTTTGAGGTATAGGCGGAGGGAGTCGATTTTTGCATGCTTGGCGTCCGCTTTTGCTGATTGCGGAAAGGCTGGTTCTTCTTGTTGGGGGCCAACAATATCTAGGAATATGAGTAATGGGAATGTGCCGCCACTTGTAACAGCGGAACGATTCATATATGGGGCCCGGATGGGCTCATGGTCAGCGGGCGGAACAGATAATATTGTGGGTAGAGTCCTATCATTGAGGAACTCGACCCCGAAGGAATACGTGCGGTCTAACCAATCCTCGTGGTCATCATCCTCCACGGGATCCGCTTCAGCGGGCGGCCTCCTTGAGAGACCATCTACCCCTGCGTGCTTGGCTGTGGGAACATGAACGAGCTCAAAGGAAAAGAGCAGGATACCTGCGATCCATCGATTGATGGTCGCATTGGGCTGGAGATCTGGATTATTGATTATACCTTTGATGTACTTCGCGTTGACCTCTACAGTGAGGTTCGTGACCCCGAAAATGAATACCCGGACCGCCCGCAACGCGCGGAACAGTCCGTACAACTTGAGCTTGGCTTGTGAGTAGCGGGTCTAGACTTCCATCAAAGTGATGGATCCGAAACGATTGGGGTATCTCTTCTTATCCGACCCTACCTGAAGCAGGATGTACCCAATAGCGATATTGGAGGTATCAATGGCTAGGATGACTTCCCACCCGCACTCATAGTCGATCCGATGTAGTGCGGGGGACTCTAATATGGAGTCCTTCAGGGTCTGCATGGTGACTTGGTGTTCTGCTTCCCACTCGAATATGGCGTCCTTCTTCGTCAGGTTGATGAGCGGGCGGGCAATCTGGGAGAAGTTACAGATGAAGATCCGAAGCACCCCACAGGTTCCTAGGAACCTGCGGACGTGTGTTGCGGTCTTGCACTCTGGCCAGTCGTGGATCTTCTGAACCTTGGACTCTTCCAGGATGCGACCCTTGAAGGTGCACATGTGTCCCACAATTACCGCGGACGGAGCTGCTAGTACGAATTTTGATGCAGAAATCGTGACCCCAACATTCTCGAGACGTTGGAGGATCCAATTGATGACCAGGCAGTGTTCCCATATGAAGCGACGGATCCCTGGGTTCCCGGGAATGGTTTCATAGGATCCGTCGTCCCATTGGTACCGGGTCTTAACTGATTTGACGGGTACGTCGTCGATGAAGGGGGAAGTATAGTCTGGGATTTCGTGCTGGAGGGTGAATGCGGTATCACCTTGGTAGACTTGGACTGTGTTGGCATGTCCTTGTGGAAGGGTAGTGAGTCAATGGGGGCCGAGGGGTGTTCCGAAGGTAGTGAGATCCTGGGACTCCTCATGGAGCGGACACTGGTCATAACCTGAGTATAGGTCCATCATCCCATATACTGCATACCCGGTGAATGATTCTGCGAGATGCTCGATGAATGGAGGGACGGATGCGTCGCAGATGGTTACTGCGTTCAGGGGTTGGAGGTTGTGGACAAGCCGCAATGACTTCCCGTCCTTCTTCACGACACAGAACCAGCGGGAACGGTATGCGGCTGTGGATGGCTCGTATACACCTGAATCGATTTTCTCCTTGATGATGCAGATGACTTCCATTAGGATTGCGAGTGGGATGGGGATGTTGCATTGAACCCATGGGACATGCGGAACTGTGGGGATTTTATATGCTGGAAAATAATCTTTATTAAGGCACCCGCGTTCCGCAGCACCCCAAGCAAATGCCCATTCATGGGTGCGGACTAGCCAACGGATCAGTTTGAGTTCCTCCAGCCATAACCAATTGGCCGGATCAAGGTCTAATACTCCCATCCGCTCTTCCTGTCATATACCAGATCCGACCGCTCTGATACTGATATCTGCTCCGCTTTCCGACCCCCTCCACTCCATCCTATCACAACCCTGCATTCCGCCCTACGCTTCCGCTCAACTGCTCAACCGGTCCCCTTCCATAAACCTCTCCACTCAACTGGATCCCTTTCCCCTTTTAGACATACACTTTCCCCTTCGGTACATAGACCCTTACTTCTGGATCACCGGTAATTCCTATTACCGCTCGATCACTGATCCGACGCGTACATATTGATATCCGCCCCAACTTATGTCTTTCCTATGTAAAGTACTTACAAATTATATCCTTAGTACATAGCATTATAACACAGTTATCCTGGTCACTGCCTCATACATAGAAGTATATAACATATCGTGTACTTAGATATTTTCCTTAGTCTTAATATTACTTGTCTTCTCGCAGTTACACCTTGTGAGAATTCTCAGTAGGACCTTGCCTCCTCTGGACACAAGTCTCAACTTGTTGTCACCTCTGACCCTCTGATCCCCCGCTCCGACTTAGAGCCATGCTCTAAGTCTTTTCCATATACTCCGCCCCTATCCAATATTCTCCCTTGTCCCTCTGCATCATCCTCCACCTTCTCCACCTCTGTCAAACATTCCCCCTGCTCCTATCCACCCTCCGCATCAACCCCTGTCTTCTCCGCTCTGCTCCTAGTCGGCCCACCGCTAGCAGCTCTTACTTCCTGACCCTCAAAGTGGACCAAAGCGGTCCATTCGTCCTATTGTCGGACAACATCGGACCCGCTCCAAATTCGGGGCATGTACTCGGCTAAGGGCGCAGCGCAAGAGCTGAAGCCAAGCCCCGACCCCTCTGCCTCTTGAGCCGGCACAGTACCTAACACTTCCGTATAGTGGACCCCCGGAACAAAATCGGGGGGTAATATGGGTAATTCAGGCATGCCTTCTAATGGATCATCTGGGAGCCGACGCACGACCCTAAATTCTTTGGGCATCGTGGTGGGCACTGTCCGCACTTTCTTCGCAACTGGTTTGTACACCAGCACATGACGGGCGGGATCATAGGAATAAATGGAATTGAACGCATCAATGGCTGCGGAATCGAACATGGACTGGGTCGATGTGAGATATGGGTACTTCTTGGAATGCAGAATTGCGGACTCATAGGAATATGCATGGACGGATGAGCTCCTTAAGAGCGATGGATGGATGGAACTGACGGGATGGACGGAACGAGAATGAAATGGAGACGGGGAAAGCGGATGTGTAACTTCGACTATCGGAATTGAATCTCCCCGCGGGTCTAGCAGCTCATCAAAAATCAAAAATCCCGTTCCCCTCCCTTGGGATGCTCGACCCTAACCTAACGGGGCTTTGGTGGGTACTGGTGGGGTTGATGGGGTGGTGCCCGGGAGTAGGAATTCTCCCACCTCCATTACTTTTCCTATTGGGTAGGGTTTGTTGGGGTGGTGGTCGGGTAACTTGATGGCTAGGCGGGCGCGGATAAGCTTATTGACGTCTTTGCAGATTCTGTCTAAAAAGAGACAGTCCCGCTCGGTCTCCGCTAGGCGCCTCTTGTCTATGAGGAATGTGGATATGCAGAGGAACTTCCTATAATAATCCCTGAGCTCTACCTGGGAGTGCATGGGGGTCCGGGCCTGCTCGGCTGATAGTCCCGTGAGGTCCGCTGGGGTGAAGCGTCAATCGCCTTCACAACCCAGATATAACTTTTTTACTGCAGCTACGAAGTTGGCAAGGAGTAATCCCTTAGATTCGGGCAGACAGGCCCATGTTTCAGCATCATCTAAATTAGCATACCACATCACAGCTTTGATGTGTTCCAGTTCAGTCAATATGGCCTGATCTGCGAGATAGGCAACATCTGCGAGGAAACGGCTGAGTTGCGCTGCGGTTCCGTCAAACTTGGGAGCAGTGCTTGTGCCACCAAGGGGCATCCTGTAGGGGATAGTGGCCATAGGTACCGGGGGTAATGGGATAGGAATAGATTGTTGTGGTTGCAGGGGCTGAATGGGGGTAAGGGAAATGAAAGCGGGTGCGGCTGGGAGAGTCGGGACCGAAGGGTCCATATGGGGATTGGCTGGATGGGGACTTGCGGGGATATCGTTAGCTGGGTGCGACAGGAGCGGATGAAAAAATGGGTCCGAAGTTTGCGGGCTTGGTAACTCTGGTTCCTGCCCTGGAATGGAAGCAGATGTAGAAGGCGGAGATGAAAGCGTGGATGAGGAGGAATTAGATGGAGTAAGATGCAAACTTTTGTCGCTTGACGATGGGGTAATCGGGGGTTGGGAGTGTTGCGCTAAGTCGTCTGGGACTGAAATGAGGATATCTTTGGGCAATAGGTGAAGGTCTTGGAATGCTTTTCGTAGTTCCATGAGGTCTAAACGAGCCAGAGTGGGTCTAAGTGACCTGCTAGTTGTCCCAGATGGTCCCCTCGCGGTGGGCTCCAGTTTTGGGTGAGGAATATAGACCCTGTGTGATTCAGAAGTCTAACAAGGGTGCGAGACTTGGTACTCGTCCCAAGGGGATTGCTACTGGGTAGCGGGATCCTCAAGTATGTGCGAGGAAAGCAAAGACTAGACTCTGTCTAGTGACCTGAAGGGTTCCGGTCCTTACTAGGACTGGGAACGCAAAGATACGGAGGGTCTGTGACGAGTGGAACACAGTGCGCAACGAGCAGAACTAATGCGCAACGAGTGGAACTAACGGAACTAACGCGGAACAAACAGAACAAATGGGGATCAAATGGAGGGAAAGGAAACTACGAGCCTGCAGGAGGATGATTGGGCAAAGTCGGACCAGGCTTGTGTCTGGTACTTGCTCTTAGTCATTGGATCTGATGTCGGGCATTTCGAGCGGAACTCATGGGGACAGGAACGATGCAATGAAATCAGGAATAGATTCGGGAAGATATTTTAGACAGTGAGTGGAGTACAGGGAAGTTGTCATATACCGGATCCAAGTACCCCCAGTACCTCCTATGAGCATCCCCACTGCTGGCCCGACCCCCTGTTTCCCCGTCCGCTCCATTCCTCCTTCCCCGATAATGCACGAAGTGCATCTCAGTAGGATTAGCCCTGCTACCTCCATCTGACTCTGTTCCGCTTTTCCGACATTACCCCTATGTCCTCCGACACCATACCCCTTCCATCCGACCCTATCTGGGGTTCCACTCCTCCGCCCTATTGGTCCACCCAATCCTACTCCTACTCCCTCCGCTTTTCCTCCCCGCTCGGATCCTTCAGTTCCGCTTGTATTGACCCGCCCGACCATTAGTCCGTCCGACCGCCTCACTGGTCCACTCCTAGACTAGGAACCACTCAACTGGTCCTATCCCCGTTTAGTATTATAGTTCCGCTTTTCAGATCCCCGGTAATCCCTATACCCTAGCGAGTCTGATCCGTCGCGTACATACTTTTCTCCAAGCCTCATTCTCGTATGTCTCAGTCATCCCATTGTAATCCTGTACACTCAGCACATAGCCTTCTGCTATGCTATGCTCCTTACTTAGAGTATATAAACCTATGTACCTTTGTCTGTAGATACCCAGTCTGAATATTACCTTTTCTAAGCCCAGCTCTTCTGCCCTTTGACTTAAAGCTTATCCCAAGTCAAACTCCTGTTTCCCAGCCTAGGGGATTGACTCCCTAGGTTGGCTGTCCTCCGATCCTCCGCTTCCCCATTCCTCCGTCCCGCTGGTTCCACTGTTCCGTCATTCCTCTGTTCCGTTGTTCTGTCGTTCCCCCGTTCCTACCAATCCTCTGTTCCCCCATTCCCCCGTTCCTCTGCTCGTCCGACTTCCTGTGCATCGGAACTAGACCCCGCACTCTCACATCCATCCTCTCCGTTCTGCTCTGCTTCGGACTTTGTCCAAGCAGTTCCTTCCGCTCCGCTTCTACTGTTGGTTCCAACCACAGTAGTCTCCCGACCCCCTCCTGTTGGGCGGAACGAACCCCCGCCCGACTTTCCCGCGCTCACCTAGTAGTCCGCCAGTCCTCCTTCAGAGGACCCCCATTCCGACGTCCTGTCAGAACTCATAGAACTCATGTTGGACTACATCCCGAAATTAGGGGCACGTACTCGGGTAAGGGGCGCAGCATACGAGCTGAAGCCAAGCCCCTCAGACTCCGCTTTACCCCTGAGCATGGTCTTAACAGAAGTACTCTGCAAGTGGAAGTGGAGTCCAGTCTATCAGAAGGTAAAAAGACTAAGATCCCATCTATTGCTACCTATATAGGAAGGGGTTCCAAAATGCACTATGCTACAACTGGGTGAGGCTGTGAGATAAGGAATTGGTCCTGAGTAGCGGAAGGATCCGTATAAGTACCATGACACATGGGAAATGAGATAGGAACATGTTAGTAACATGGGGAACGTAGCTAGTACTCACCAGCGAGGATGGAAGAACAAGGACAGGACGGAGGAGGACATTCCGAAGGCTAAAAGGATATGATGCGTGTGGTACGCAATTGTTCCGCTGGGTTCCACTGGGTTCCGTGTAGCAGACAGCTCGGGGAAGATGCGGGTGGGTAGCAGGATGGTAGCGGAACGCATGGGAAAATGGTGGGAAGGCATGGGAATTATACGGGATACGGGCCTACAGTGGGGATGTTCCCCACAGCGGTGCCATAGATTCTTATTCCACTGACAAGCAATATCATACAAGATATTGAGAATATCGACAGTCATATGCCGAAGGGCCAAGAAAAACAAATAATCCATATTTATGTACCTAGATGTAGTCAATTTGATGCATCTGAGTCTGAAGCGTACCAAACTTACTTTTCTCCTTTCTGGAGGTCCCTGACTGCCGTTGGTAACTTCATATTGTGGTGGGTGCAGTCAATGGTACCGAGCCCTGTAGCTGCCAGGCCACAATTTGATTTAGTATCTGCCATGTTTACTGCATTGTGGCTCCAACAAGCAGACTTCTGTTTAATAGGGTATCACCATAGAAAATAACAACTACCAAAAAAAACTCACCTCTTGGCTAACATTGGATTCATCGTTCAGGAAGGCCTTGTATGCACTTTCCTCAACGAAGTATCCCCAGCCATTACTAAGGCTAGGGTCCACACTATCTTTTGACATGACTCTCCATTTCAGCTGGAAGTTCGCATTGATGGCCACAAATAGGCCATACAACCAGCTTTTGTCAGGGGGGGCCTCTCTCCAGTTGGACAGTAAGTTCTTCCCAGGCTGTGGGCAGGCTGGACATATAACAGCGCATGCACCCTCTGCCATCACATCAATGCCATTGGGATTGTGCACTCTCCCAGATTGCTTGAGCATTTTGAGATGACACCATTCGTGTACTATTCTCATGAATGAGTCATATCGATCCTAAAGGGAAATAAGTCAATGTCCCCACAGAGCGTTAGAATAGGACCCACTTTGATAGGATTGATCCCTGTGTTATCAGACCTCCGCATTAGGGCATAATAAAACTCATAGGCAGACACTTTTGACTCCAAAGACAAGAGGTGGAATTCTTCTAGAAGACGAAATGTAGCAGCCATTTTGGGGTCTGCAGTAGTTGAAGGGAACAGTAACATGCGAAGCAGTTGTTGTATGTGGGCTGTTGCCAAAGTGCAGTCACAAAAATCCAACAATACCTTGTGCACGCCATGAGAATCTATAATGACAAAGTCGTCATTGAACGCGCAATGGGGATTGGGACAGGTATGGCCTAGTGCATGACCGAGCTGAATCTGGAGACCAAGGCTCTTCAGGCTTGCAAATTCGAAATATTCACCGTTCCATTTCTGTAGTATGTCTAGTTGGTTCGTACCCTGCATTATTGAGTAATTGGCGCCTACCTGCAACTGGTGTAGTGGGTGATCCTTGTGTGCCATCACCATGCAAGAGGAACAACGGAGTTCAATCCCAAAACAATCTTCACATCAATATTCTGGATGTGGATTACCACAACCAGAACAGGGCTCTGCACTAAGGTCACCTCATCCTTTGAGTTGTAACATCTCGTGAAGGAACAGGGCATGATCCTTGAGCCACATTAGCAACGTATAATCCTGAATGATGTCAGTGGCGACAACAGTGTGATTCTGTCAGTTTATCGACTTACTCCTATTCTATGTCATCTCCCCAGACATTGACCACCATCATCAGCATCCCATGATAGATCGGGCGAATATTCATTGAATTCATCTACCAGCATGGCAGAGACATTGTGTTGAATGTGCGCAGGTGGATCAGGTCGCGGGGTTGGCTGAGTGTTTTTTGGAGGTTGAACATATCTTCATGTATAGCTTATAGAGCCGTCTCCGTGAACTTGATACTGCATTTGTTGTCACTGCTTGAGCCCTGAAGGCTTGGGATGTGAGTAAGAATTGAGGGTCAGCCTTTTCTGCCGCTTCTTAGCCCTCGCAATTGATAAAAATTCCTGACTGCAACTCTGGTGTACATATAACCTGCAATGAAGATGAGCCTGCAAGGGATAGACTGAAGTCCATGATGAAGCAACCAATTGAAATTCCAAAATACCGTCAAGGTTTCTACAGTAGATATTCTCGTAATGCATAATAATTAATAAAAAATGAAAGTGCAACATTTCAAATAAACAACCTCAAACAACCTTCAAACACACATAAGTCATTGTGCAGGTGATTCTCCATTGCAGTTGTCATCCTTGGTTGAAGTTCCAGTGGGTGAGTATTTATCTTCTGTACTGGATAGCTGTATCTCACTCATTTGACTTCCCATCAATGACCACCACCAACACCAACCCATCCAATGATGATGCTCAAAGCAGCCTTGGTGCGTTTTTGCCTGTCACTTACTCAAATGCTTCAGTAATCCATATATATTTCAGATGTTGTATTGCAACTGTTGTCATCATTGACGCTGTCGCATGATGATGCACAAACACTCATCAATGTGATCACCGACCAGATACAGGCTGCTGCACTTCCTGCCGTGCAGCCAGCTCCCACTGTCATTGTCCCAGTTGTGGCGCCTCCCACTTCCATTGTCCAGACCGCTACATGTCCTGCTGTGCAGCTAGCTCCTGCTGCCACTGTCCCAGTCATGGCACCTCCTGCTGCCACTGTCCAGGCCACTACACTTCCTGCTGTGCAGCTAGCTCCTGCTGCCATTGTCCAGGCCGCTGCACTTCCTGCTGTGCAGCCAGCTCCTGCTGCCATTGTCCAGGCCACTGCACTTCCTGCTGTGCAGCCAGCTTCCCACTGCTGTTGTCCTGGTTGTGGAACCTCCCGCTGTCATTGTCCAGGCCGCTGCACTTCCTGCTGTGCAGAACCATCCTACCCCAATAGCATGCTCCGGCTTCTACAGTTTTCCGCATCTCCCACTGACTGAGGTCATCATCAATGGTGAGACAAGGGGACAGCAGCATTATCATGGATTCACATTTGATGTCCCACATGCTGCAGCCCTTGGTCCATTCTACCTCATCATCCGCAGTTGCCGGGTAGGTGTCTTTGAAACATGGTGCATATTTTCATTGGTTCCATGTTCCTGCTCTGATTCTCTTTCAGGCAATGCACATCCCCATATGTGCTTGGTGTTAGCTGCTCTTTCAGCCACTGCAAGTCACTGTATGATGGTCTGATTTGCATGCTTGATGTGATAGATCTCAGAGAAGCACAGTGGCTTCCTTAAGTGGACAATGTGTGACTCTCAAACTTGATACATTTTTGACGTGCTTTGCTTGTGCCTACTCTATGTACCATGTACTGCTGGTTTCCACCAATGAAAATCTCACTGAGAATCAAATATATCCATGGCGAACTCAGAAACTCAACCAGCGATGAGCATGGAGGAAGCGCAGCACATTGATACTCATTGGTTGAAGTTGCCGTCGACTGCTGGAAGTGATCCACTAATTAATCAAGCAGTTCCAGAAGAGATGCTATACCTGTGAATCAGGGACTGGATTATAGACCCAGGCCAGAGTACTAACACCAGTTGGATGGATCTGAAAACGACACATAGGGGAGATGAGTTCTGTACAATACAAGTGGGTCTTGAGGGCAAGAATGTCAGGCTATGCTCAAGTTTGACAATGATTTGGTGTAAGTAAGTGTTGATGACTGTGGTGGCGCAGTGTCAGGAAACATCAATAGCATGATAGTGATTGCATAGATTGCATACTGTAACATACCTAGCAATTGTGCAATGTAGCTTGAAGGACTTCAGGACAGATAGAACTGGTTGTGCTGGTAAGGTCTTGCATGCGGCGCTGAATCATCAACATACTCATGTAGTAAAGGTCATAACTCATGACCAGTAGCATTCTTGCATAGTCTCACATAGTCACGTAGAGTTGTCAAGCCAGAAGATAATGTATAATAATTGAATGCAAAGAGTTGAACACTTTGTTATAGGGAGTTTTATAGGAGTTTTACTACATCTAACAACATACTGCACTGCTGCAGAGCACGAACAAATGTTTCATTAAGCATAAAGAGTGCAATAGACACTTGCATTGTTGCTTGCAAATGGAAACTTCAAGGGAGAGCAGGCATATTAAGAAAATAACTGGAGGTGTACCCAACTGGAACATTGTGCACTGGCAGGGCGGGACTGCACCGTGAGACCATCAAGAACAGTTGTATTCATCAAACAAGCATACTAAGGCTCACTTAGCATTGATCGGTGGGTGTCCGTTACTGGTCAGCATCGACCCTCAGGCACTGATATCAACAACATTGCATTTTCAAACCAGTTGGGTCTCATTACCTGAGCTGAGTACTTATCAGGAGTAGCTGTATCTTCAACATGGCATCCAAGTCAAGTTCGATCATGTTGCTACAACCACTTCAATTGAATGAACAGTACTAAGGCATTGGTGGGCTGTCACTGGTCAGTATCAACCCTTGAGCACTGACATCAACAATTTTCAAACCAGCTGGGTCTTGTTACCTGAGCTGAGTACTTAGTAGTAGCTGTATCTTAGACATGGCATCAAGTTCAATCTGTTGCCACAATCTCTTGGTTTGAAAGTTTTCAAGCTTGCAATTCCGAGTTGTTCATTCTTACTAGTATTGAGGTGTGTGTTGCAGATTCTCACATGTTTCGCAGAACTAAACCATACGTTCTGGTGACAATCATGGAGTCCACAATGGTGGAGTACAAAAATAGTACTATTTCAAGTTCATCTCCTTCAACTCACCCAACGTTCATTCAATGTTAGCATGCTGGTACTATATTTCTCAGCCAAACAGTGCCGCTGGTTGGATAACCAGATAGACATCTACAATTACTGTGATGAGTACAAAGATCTTGTCAATTTCTGGACCTCCTTATTTGAGATCTTCTTCGTTAGTTGGCCAGAGCATGAGGTCTTATTCCCTGATGGGCCTGCACCCCAGTATTTCACTGAAGAGAAGAAGCAAGCGGTGGACGAGGCTGTAGTGACGAGGAAACATGTGAGTACCTCACTAACCTTCACATTGCAACAAGCTGACCACTCAATCATAATAGTGCCTTTGGGATTGGTTCTGTTACCAAAGAACCCTGCATACTGATGCCCTAGCAGGATATGTTCAATTCACCATAGTGTCCACACACAATCACACACTGGTCTTGCAGGTCGAAGAGGCATTTGTAAATTTGGACATTGCAGCTGATGAGCTCAATGTTTAGAGTGTGGGGAGTAATGTTGAGGCAGGGGGGAGTGGATAAATTTAGACACAATCAATTGATCAATTACTTACACTCAATTACTTAAAATTGTCACTTGCCTCAGGGTAGTAACTCTATGCTATTTATGTCCTTTGAGCTTAAATCTTAGCTATTGATGAAGTGCCCGCCCCTTCAGGTTACTTGCTGTACTGTTCAAGATGGCGAATCACAAAACATTTGGCCTGTGCGTTGTGGGGAATGTCCCCACTGTAGGCCCATATCCCATATAATTCCCATGTGTTCCCACCATTTTCCTGTGCGTTCCGCTACCATCCCGCTACCCATCCGCATCTTCCCCAAGCCATCCGCTACACGGAACCAAGCGGAACCTAGTGGAACCCAGCGGAACAATTGCGTACCACGTGCATTATATTCCTTAAGCCTTCGGAACATCCTCCTCTGTCCTGTCCATGTCCTTCCATCCTCGCTGGTGAGTACTAGCTACGTTCCCCGTGTCACTAACATGTTCCTATCTCATTTCCCATGTGTTACAGTACTTATACGGATCCTTCCACTACTCGGGACCGATTCCTTATCTCACAGCCTCACCCGGTTGTAGCATATCGCATTTTGGAACCCCTTCCTATATAGGTAGCAATAGATGGGATCTTAGTTTTTACCTTCTGATAGACTCGACTCCACTTCCACTTACAGAGTACTTCCCTGTACTCCACTCACTGTCTAAAATATCTTCCTGAATCTATTCCTGATCTCATTGCATCGTTCCCGTCCCCGTGAGTTCCACTCGAGATGCCCGACATCGGATCCGACGACTTGGAGCAAGTACCAGACACAAGCCTGGTCCGACTTCACCCAATCATCCTCCTGCAGGCTTGTAGTTTCTTTTCCCTCTGTTTGTTCCCTGTTTGTTCTGTTTGTTCTGTGTTAGTTCTGTTAGTTCCGCTCGTTGGGAACCCTCCACATCTTTGTGTTCCCAGTCCTAGTAAGGACCAGAACCCTTCAGGTCACTAGACAGAGTCTAGTCCTTGTTTCCTTGCACTTATTTGAGGACTTGCTACCTAGTAGCAATCCCCTTGGGACGAGTATAAGCCTCGCACCCTTGTTAGACTTCTGAATCACACAGGGTCTATATTCCTCACCCACAGCGTGAGATAGCAAGTGTGACAATCTCGCCTACATATAGTTTATACATGGCCGCTATGAGGGGTCATTCATTCTGCAGCCATAGTGTGCACCTTTAATTTTGCAGTGACCTCATTAGATGTATGACAGTGTATGACCATTTCATTATTTTATTAAACTTACAAAGACTAATACACCAAATAGATGCCTGCATCATGATGGACCACAATGGAACAGGCAGAATGGCTTCAAGAACACCTGCCACAATATATGACTGAGCACCTGAAAGACAAGGATTACTCTCACTTCTGGCCTGTGGTGAATGCAGAATGGTTTAAGCAGTTCCTTGAAGAAGTGGTCACCTTTCCTGACATTCCCACTAATACTCTTTTGGCAGAGCAAAATGCAGCAGTGGACAAAGCTAAAACCAAGCGGAAAACAGTAAGCTTGTCTATAACAGGTGCAACACCATATCCTGATGTACCATAAATCTAGCACCTCCGGACTTGGTTTCACTGGCGTGTGAACACTTCCAAGAAAAATCGCAGCCTGAAGAAGCAATCAACAGTCTTCAATGATGCATTACAGCCAAAAAGACGTGCCAAGTCTGAGGCCGAGATATACTCTGATATCTATTATGACGAGCGCATCAAGCCATTGGTGAAGGCCGAGGAAGAGGCTGGGAACATAACTTCAGGTGGATGCATCATGCTGAGTCGTAGATTCTCCAAAGAGTTGCTGGAAGATGAAGAGGAGGACATCAAAGCTCAGATCCATGAAATGTACAAACAGCAGCAGTGGAAAACTCACGAGAAGTTGGACGATGATGAGGAGGATGACTGCATGCTTGATGCAGAGGCAATCATACAGTACATGTTCAAGTTGATTCTATCAGAGATTCAATGGCTAATGTTCAACATGCAGGGGTATAGATGACTTACTGATTATCTGCTGGCGTTTTGTACACCTCGTCAAGAACAAGACGGGTTTCATCATGTCCTTCATGTTTGCTGGCCCAGACCCAAGAAGTGATTGGGATATGACATTGCTATCGTGAGTCACAGATACTATTTCGAGATTCATGCTGACTCATGTATTAAAGGTGTCATCCCTCTGAAACCCCACAAGGGAGGAACTTCACACAGTTATACCAGATGGTGGATAGGGAGTTCCTGCAGGCTTTTCAACATTATGCAGAATTGATCTTCCGTGAGGTTTTTTTTTTCAATCAGTGGCTGGTTGACTCACTTACTTTGTATTGTTCCAGCCTCTGATAAGTGCAAGCCTGTGTTCACTGTAGGGAACGACGATGGGGGTGTGTGTGTTATGACCGACGTCCAACAATAATGTTGAAGGCGAGTACACAACCACTAGGACTCGGTCAGAGATGATGATGAGTAACAGAGTTGGATTGAGCGTGAACGTCTAAGTCACTACAACAGTAGAAACGAAGAGGTTAAGTCTAAGGAGTACTTACGCTAACTAACCTACTCTTATACATAACATTGAATAGGAGTCTGAAAGAAATCAGCCAATAAGAAAAGAGTCGTACGACTACTGCGGATGACTAAAGATGACTCATGATATATATAAGCGACTGAGTAAGACGGCAACTAAACAGAAACCCAAGTTCCGACCAGTTCTTCTTTGGGAAGTGAGATTGTTCTAGCCCATGGAGTAGGGGAGCCAATCGGAGAAGCAACGGGTGACCTATGATGAGGAGTCATGTGACCGGCTCGGGTACTGGAAGTAGCCGAAGGAAAACCGAGAAATGAAAAATGGTTCATATTAGGAATTCGTGACAGGGTGTCACAAACAGACCCTGATGATGGGGAGCATGGAGAGTGTGATAAGGCATTTGAGATGGCTGATGAGGAGGAGCCCAAAGGGCATGATGAGACTGAAGCAGCAGAGCAGGAAGATGGCTCTGAAGATGGGAGTTCTGGGATGATGGATGTTGGTGAGTAGATGCGGCCAGCCTTTATATGTGGGGTTCAGTAGCTGATGCATTCGTCTCATGCATCAGAAGGCTCCTTGCTGACATCGCCTGATGATGATGCATCATTAGGTTATGCATCAGGCGTGGGAATGATTCATGCAACCAACCTGTCGGTAAGTGCCTTAACTTTATTGTGCAATTATTCTAGACTGATTCTATTAATGCTATATGTTGTAGTCTAATACTAGTGCTCACACATTGTCACCTGAGGTTGGTGCTGCATCAGTGTCTGATGGATCGTTCCAGTCATCAGCATATCCTTTGCCATTGCACATGGCTAACTATAATGGCTTCCTCGTCCCAACTTCCAATTCACATCCACCAGTCTATGCACCCTCTGTGTCCAGCAATGCGGCTCCCAATTCTTTCATGCCAGTCTATGCCCCCAACATCTCCAGCAACTCAGTTCCCCAGTCTTTCATGTCTGGCTATGTGCCTCCCGTGGCTACTGATGCATTCATGCCAGTCTATTCACCCTCAATGTCAACCTCCAGCTTCTCGTTCCCTGAGGCATTACACAATATGAATTGGAATGATCCAATGTTTCACACATCTCTGAACACCACCGAGTGGCTACAAGCACAACATACCAGCCTCTTGCCTGGAACTAATATGGACTTGTTCCCAGTACTGCCTTATCCTACTACTGAGGGTACATCCGATAAATCTATCGCTCTCTCCACTGAGCCCAGTGTGGAACCTGTCACTACAAAGTCAACTGCCCCCAAGCCCAAGGCTGCCCCAAAGCCCATGCTGGCAAATGCACTGCCTCCCAGCCATCTGGCGAACCCACATCAGCTAAGTCAAGTCCATGAAGTAATGCAGCTCCAGGCAGTGCCAGCTTGACAAGTGACTCCATGAACACTGGGGGACATACATCCAAGCATGTCCCAATCAAGTCCAGACATAATGAGCTGGTGGATGCAATTGGAACTCACATAATGTTACTGCTGTAGTGTTCTTAGTCTCTTGATAGTTGTCCTTAACATCTTGATAATATCTTGTACCATGCTCTGTGACCATGATATCAGTTGTCCTGTCTTGTACCATGGTTGTGACCTTAAATAAATAACTTGTCTTTTGTAAAGTTTGAGGTAGTACATGATGTATCACTGAATGGGCACTACAGACTTCGTAAAATTAAGAAGTACGGTCAGATGTGTGATGCATCATTGGAACTTCAAGTTCGTCAATTTTCAACCCATGTGTAATGCTACATACTTAATGGGTGTTCCTTGTACACATAGGACTTCAACAATAGATACGGGTATATAGCATTATATTACTAGTACTAGACTACAGTATAAAGAAGTTTGACAACAAATACAGGCAGGCAGAACAGGCACCTCTATACTATGTCACTGGTGTCAAGAGGGTCGCAGAAACACATGCGAGAGAATGGGTTTGCCATGTGTATCAGGAGGAATGCACATTAGGTATCAGTATGCAGGAGGCGGGAGGTGGGAGGCCAGTGCTGGTTACTATAAATGGACAACAACACCGCATCAAAGAAGATACAGTGCATACAAAGGGAATGGTGCAGGTGGTGGCGGGAGGAAGGAAACAATGCATCATGGTGCATCAGGAGGAATGTGCATTAGGTATCAGTATGTGGGAGGCGGGAGGTGGGAGGCTAGCGCTAGTGCTGGTTACTATAAATGGACAACAATGCCGCATCAAAGAAAATACAGCACATGCAAAGGGGATGGTGCAGGTGGTGGCGGGAGGAAGGAAACAATGCATCATGGTGCATCACACTGCCATACTATTTTAAAGGCCTGATGCATTATGTATAGCCTATTAATGCATTATGCATCATCATGCAATATATTTACCTGCCTATAGATTGTAAGAGTATTGCATCAATTTATGCCTTACAACTGCAACAATTCTTGCATCAATATGACAGGGTCGCCTGGGGTAGCAAATCTCTACACTGTACCCGTACCTGTGACCCCTATACCCACGGTGTATACCATACCCATGCTATACCCTAGATTGAATGAAGACAGTCTGAGTCGTTCCTTCTCTGGGATTTGGGAGTGGAGAAGTAAGTTGAAGTACTCATCTGATAGTACAAGTGCCAAAGGGCTGCTGAGACCAAGGACTCACATGTATTTTCATCTGTCCATTTATATATACATTTTGGGCTTCATCCACCTTGGGGAGAACAATGTAACTGTAAATGTGTTAGAGATCTCGGGATCAGGGCGTGAAGTCAACTCAATCATGAGTAGGATCTAGAAATGACCATAATCCAGTGAGTACGTGTACAATATATACACTAGATAATACAGAGATGACCAACATGACATTAGAGGAACTTGACGAGAACTCTGACTATGTGACCAATGAGCAAGCAGCGTACAAGCAGCCCCCTTTTTGGCCGAAACACGCGAAATGTTTGACAATTTGATGACAGTCACTACAACTCTGCCTAATTCTGACAAACGTCCGCCATGCTAATTGCAAATGCACACCTGGCAGTCTGTGGAGCAGGTTGTCCCTCCATGTAGCTACCACTCACATCCACTGAGTTTTTCAGGTCCTGCATCAGAACCATCCGGACATCGGAGATGGCACCGGCACTGTGTCCAGTGATGGTGACCCCATTCGGATCACCACCGAATTTTCTGATGTAGGACTGGACCCATTTGAGTGCCTGGATCTGGTCCTTGAGCCCCGCATTAAAGTTGCCAGTATGTGGGGTCAGTGAACTCAGGAGTGGCCAGGAAGCTGAAGGAACCAAAACGGTAATAAACAGACACAATAATCACATTCAGGCTTTGTTCGATCCAGTGATCAAATGGCCAGTTGGTCAGGTTTCCCTCAACCCAACCTGTTACAATGAGATTAATAAATGGGTATGGTCATCCTTGAGAATATGACATTACCTCCACCATGGATATTGAACAGCACAGGCACTACATAGAACCATTGATATTAGAAAACGAAACAAGTTAGGACAGGAAATCTAAAACATACAGTTGTCGCCTTCTTTGGCACCAAGGGGTGTGTAGATATTGACATTCAAGCAGTCCTCCAATCCCGCTCCTCCTGCATTTCCAGCTGAGGCCATGAGGTCAGAAAAATCCTAAGGACAGCAATCGCACATACAAAGTGATCCTTGGATACAAAAGGCAGGGGGCTCAGTCATGTCGACCACCTCCCTGTTGACTGCTTCAGTCACATGCTCTGTCTTTAGAGGGACTGTGGCGCGGAAGCGCAGGTTGCCTACAGGGGGCTCAGCGTATGGTATCCCAAAGTATACCACCGTGTTTGAATATGCCTCATCCAGCTTGCCTTGGTATGTTACATATCCCAAGTCAACCATGGTCCCTGAGTTAACCGTGTTTGGATACCGCTGGTTGCCTTGGTATGTTGCATATCCCAAGTCACCTGTGGGGCCAATGGGGGTCTGTTTAAGCACACCACTGAAATCTTTGAATAAGGCGAGGTTCAGCAATGGGAAAATTGTGTTGTGCATTCTTGAGTACAGAGTCCAAGTCCGCCCTTGCAAACATCTTTTAAAGGAAAGCCCCATAAAAGTCGAACTGATAAAGTACCGCCTGCATGACACACTCTTTATAGTGCCAGCCAAACTGGAGTGAAGTGAAGTGGAAATTACAGTTCAAATTCAGGTTTGGACGGCAATGAACTTCAGTTTAACCAAGGTCAGCAGACACATCCATGTAGCTGGTGAACAAGGTGCTATTTCAGGGTACTTCCTGTTAGCCTTCATGGGGATTAGGCGTCACTAGTGATGGAAAAGTTCGGTTCAGTCCGGTTCACCAGGAAATTTGGTGAACATTGAACCGAACATCACGTTCGATTCAGTGATTTTGCTGAACGCTGGACCGAACGTGCTTGAACGTGTTCAGTGCGTTCAGTTCACGTTCGGTTTGGCATTCGAATGCTGAACGTCTGAAATTTATGCACAAAGTTAAAGACACTGCGTGGCATCATGCGAGGGGCTTAGTGATGTTCCTGTCTGGCTTAGGCTCAAAGCCCCAGCTTAGGCTCGGCCTGGAGGGGGTTTGGGCTCACTAGATTTCAAGCCTGAGCCATGAGCCCAAGCCAGCCAAAAACTGGGGCTTAGGCCCAAGCAAGCTGTGGCCTGTGCACAAAATTCCAACAACATAAAGCACTGGAACTGGGATAGGTCAGAAGCAGACAAGCCTCAAACAAGTGAGTATGAAAATGGTAGAAATAATGTACATACATACACAGATATAACATGTATACCGGGAACAATGCAGGCAAACACAAACGAGCAGTGGAGATCACACACTCCCTGAGAGCGGGACATTGCTGTGGCACCATCAGCATCAGGTCAGAAGTTCAAAACACAAGATCAGACACTATCTGAGAGTGGGACATCGCCGTGGCACCATCAGCATTGGGTAAGCAGCTCAAAAGATGACATCACGCACTCCCTGAGAGCGGGACATCACTGGACCACCATCAGCATCGGGTAAGCAGCTCAAAAGACGAGATCATGCATGTGATGTTCGTTAAAAGACTTAGGCTCCTAATGCCTAGATGGTTACCAATTAATATATCAATCAACTCTGATATATTCTCTCCTTTTACCTTACCCTGTTTATTCCCTCTTTGTTTCTTTTATTCCTACTTTCCCCAATCCTCTCTAACCTATATAGACTAGCGTACTTAGTGCAGGATTGGGAGTTGATCCTTCCCCCCCAAAATAAAGCTTAGTTCAGCCAGTTTACTTCTGTTCAAACCCTAAGTTCTCTCAAGTCAACTCAATTCTCGTGTGTATGTTCTTAGAACGCCACATATTTTTAAACTCAAATTCTAAAGCTCTACCTATCTCTTCACTCTACGGCCACCAATTGATGAGGATTGATCACCCTCCGAACCGACAACCCTTCCCGTACCTTTTCCGTACCACCTCCCATTAGAAGAACAAAAGATGTCGACTACTTCTATTGATGCATCAAAGAACTTGTCTCAAAGCTCCTCTCCTCATAGGGATGAGTTGAGTAAAGACAGAGGTGCTCTCGAACTGGGTATCGAGAGTGCCTGGACTTGTGACGAAACATTCGTCACTGGAGTCAAACTGTCTGACAGTCAGAGGGCAGAACCCCCAACTAGCAACCAGCTATCCGCCAAAGACGCGGAAGGAGCACTGGGTGCACCCATAGAAACTAGCACCCCTCTCATTTTTAGTAATGAGGGCAACGGGACCAAGCCCCCGTCAGATAACACGAGTAGGGGTTCAGCGCCGATGAGCATATCCCCACTACTCCGAAGCGTTGCTGGGCAACCCTCTCCGATACTACTTGACATGGCAATTAAAAATGATGATAGCCCAAACCGTAGTACAATCAAAATGAGTGAACCACAAGTCAATGTCAGCTGGGCTGACCTCCCTATCAATGACGACAAATTAGGCGACTTACCCGAGTTCCCAGCACAAAGCCCAAAGAGCAAGGCCTCGTCCTTGGGCTCTCCCCCGTGTATCCCTGCTGAACTTAAAGGTAAATCAGTAGATACACAAGAATGGAAAATCCTACCGCCAAAAGACTGGCTAGACCAATGGTCAGACCTCAACGAAGGACTTGTAGAAGCATTGCGACCAGGATCCAATGACCCAGACTCTTCCTTGCGAGATATCTGGGACGAAGATAATAAATGGTTATCCATACAACTACAAAACCTTTACCTAAGACAATACCGCAACCAAGTGAAAGAAGAACTGGTTGAACAGTCCATCATGGTGACCGACCTTCAGGAATGAGTCAGAGAACTCGAGACCCTGATTATTCAGAGTCAGACCAGAGAAGAAGAAGCTCAAAAACGAATTAGAGAAGCTCACCAAGCCCCTGTCATCAGCGTCCAACTCCCCCCTCCTAACCCAGAGGGTGAGAACACGACCAAAGGCTATACTGATCCTCGTATCACTAGGTGTTATGCGAAACCTCTCAGATGAGATCTGGTGGCGCTAAACCCGCAAGGGGTGTTTGAAGCGTGGCCTTTGGCACTAGCCCAGCAAGGGGCTTGCCCGCGCTAAGTCTGAGTAAGAGCTGAGGCCCTTACTTGCATAGAGTTGATTAGAGTTTCTCAAGGATATGATCCAAGAGATCGGAATGCAACTCAAGAGTATCGTCTCAAGAGAAGATGGTTCTTTGTACAGAGGGAGTTCTCTTAGGTAAGAGAAGTTCAGACCCAACAACAAGATCAGATGAGAACCGAGTAGATTCAAGTTAGAGAATCTATCTACAGTACAAGTGAGAATATATATGTAAGGGTGATATACCGGTGGAACGGTAAGGGTATAGGTTAAGCGGAGGCAATACCGAGTCAGTGGTAAGGGTCAAGGGTTGTGTGAGTCATAAGTAAAAAGAGGTAAGAAGTACCAGTTGAACGGTAAGGGTAAAGGGTAAAGGGCATGGGGAATCCCCATCAATGAGAGAACCAAATTAGTGGGAAGGGCATAGGGTTCGGTAGAAGCTGGGGTTCCTGTGATCTAGGGGTAGAAGCGAGAGCTTCTCGTGTTTCAGAACAACGGGATCAAAAAGAAAGAGATAGAAATAGAGTTGTAACCATGGTCCAGGTCTAGACAAGTCCGAAGAATGAAATGATGTGTAATGCTCATGTTACTGTAACACTAGGCCCCAAAGGACTGAGCGAGTTGACAAGGTACCAGAGAGCCTCTTCCATACTCCCGGCAAGCAGCTCAGTCAAATGAGCGATGCTTGGTAACAGTCACAAGGACCCTGACCCCAATAACTTGCCATCCGAGTCATCTGAAGAAGATGATGAGGAATCCTCGACCGAGTCCAGTTCTGAAGATGAGACCCCGGTTAGCAAAAAGAAGGCTGCACTCCCAAATCGCCCCTACAACACAAAATCTAATTATAACCATGACCTGGATCACAGTAGTCTCTATCTGTTAAGGTCGTGCTCAAGGGGAAGACTACTCAAAGGGCTTTAGCTTCAGCTCATGCACTGCGCCCCTTACCCAAGTATGTGCCCTTAATTTCCAAGGGCAGAGGGGAAGTCCGACGGAAGTCTGGGGAGTTCCGGAGGACAAACATCGGTGGAGCACCTGGGTGACATAACAATAGAGCCTAATAAACCTTAACAACGGATTCGGACACCGTGGGTTATTACCCACGGCACCAGTAAACCTCTACACCACCAATACCACCACCTATACCTCTGCTCTTATGCACCCTGTAGGTATAGATATGTAAGATTACAGTAGATATAGGTTAGATAACTGTTAGATAACGTAGATAAAGGCGTTATCTCTGTAAAACATACAGACATAGTTTCGGCTGCCATCCAGAAGCTTCTGAAGCTCTCAGAAGACATTATGAAGGTGTTGTGGCCTAATTAGGAAAGCGCAGGCTTCATACCTGGATTACCAATCATCCAAACCTTTGTCGTCACTGTCTGCAACAGTGAGCTAAGTGTCCTTAATGGTTCCCACCTCTCTTAACTCTCTTGTAATGCTATGTCTTGCATCAACCGCCTCATGGACCACCACATTGCCTTTCATTCACACGGTAGCCTCATGGTTTTTGGCAACACATCTTACTTATACTAGTAGGTTTCAACTTTCCCCTCACCTTTTTCATGCACCCATCATCATGGCGACCCAGCGCAAACACTCTCACAGCACCAAGCTGAAAGTTCCTTGTGGGATAATGCAAGTTAAACCACAAGCCAGCACTAGCATGGATGGCTCAGATGCAAGTGGTCGTCGCACACGCTTCAAGTCTGTGGCAGCTATCATGAAGGAGACTGAGGAAGGCTTAAAAACACATAGGGAGATGTTATTGTGTAGGTCTTTTTGTCTGTGCTTGCTGGTATATTGATAAACATTATTAGCTCTACCTGCCGAAACATGCTCTGCCCTGAGCAGCATCTCACAAGGCTGTGCAGGCACAGAGCCAGACGATGACATTGGTGTTGATACCGTGTTCGAAAACCCCCTCGCTTTCTTCGACGACCTTCCTCCTGACATCTCCCATGAAGGTGGGGAGATTAATGACGTGGTTCAAAGCACACTAGGAATGTCTTCACACTCCAGTAGGAAGGGTGCACAGTCCCATCGTCAGAGACTCGAGAGGCTGGATGCCCATTGGCATATGCAAATGCCCGAACTCGTGGAGTCGTACTTACAATGGAAACATGGACCCATGGATCCAGTCCTACCCAAACACTCACAAAACCATCATGAATTCCATGTCACTGCAGTTCAAATCTTTGGTGCGTTTTTCTACTAAATACCATGTTTTGTTTATCTTGCTCAATACATCAATAGATCATGAACTTGCTACCATTCATCAACGCCCCAATGAGCCGGCCAATGTATCACTACTCAGAAATGGACTCCTTGGCTGCTCGCCTGTTGAGCCTTCAGTTGCAATTGATATCCGCGCCCTGGAGCTTTACTATCGACTACATTGCCGACATATATTTCATGGTAGTTGACATTGTTTGCACAGGTCAATTACCACGCATGTTACAGGGACCAATTTTCAATTGCCTTTGATGCCTTCCTTTCAATCCTTCGCCACGTGTGGCAGAGGTTAGATCATGTACTCAGGCGTGATGACCTGAACTGGAGAGTTAGCCACATGTGCCCTTGCTACACCTACAAGGTATGCTTATTTTGGTTGAACGATTTGTGTTCATGTTGCCACAGCTCCAAGATGATCCCTCACTGGCTCTTAATATTCTTGTGGCCCAGGATGGCAACAATTCGCTGAAGCAAGTAGCAAGTGTTGCAAATGCCGATAACTGCCAGTTTCATAGTTCATACTTTCTCTCATGCCATGATGTTGATGTGTTCAAAAATGAAGTCAAGCATCGTCAACATGCACCAGCGGATGATTCGGGGGATACTACAACGCAGGTAACTTTTGAATGTACTGGTGTTTACTGTTGCACTGATTAATTATCAGACTGTCAATTCTGAGGGACTCCTTAGCTTGTGCCTGCAATGGAAAAGCAGTTCACCCAAACACCAAAAGACAGTGCTTGATATCTATGAAACAACTGGCATCTTCACATCAGCATGCCGGCATGGATCCATCATCAAAGTGTGTGAGATGGTGAGAAGCGGTGAACTGTAAGTCTCTTACTTTATGCACTGCAATCTACCTACTTGATGGTCTGCAGTGCAAAGTACCCACTTGCAATCACTAACTACATGTTGGATACCTATGGTGATGATATTGGGATAGGCTATGACTGTCGGCTGCACATTTGGTCAAATAATTTGTAATAGCCCCCTTATCAGCATGAAGGCTGAAGCTTCTCGACTTCACGTCATAGTGAACTCATTTCATGGCTATGCCCACAACCAAATCTGTCAACTAGAACATCATCCACTTTACCAACAAGGCTTTGGACTTGAAGATCTGGAAACTATGGAGCGGGTATTCTCATCTTCAAATTCAGTCTTGCGCTCTGTTCGTTATGCTTCACATTTTCATTGGGTGCAGTCCATCGACTTGCATCTCCAGCAGTGGGATGATGATAAGTACCAGGAGCATTGACCTTCAAACTGCAGAGTACGTACACGGTATTTTTACTGTTCAGTGAATTGATCATGTTATAGTGCAAAATGGCACGGTGTTTCAGAAGCTTTCAGGAACTCAATGTCTTCTCAGTGCATCAACTATACTGCAGATGTTCGTGAGACGCTCAAACTGGAGACTGCTCGCCGAGCAAGCATGGATATCCTTCTTGTCAACATTCACACAGTCGCAGATTTGCAGGCGAAGCTGGGAATTTTGGAGAGGTGGACTGAACAACAACGTGAATATCAGGAGATGCTTGCATACATGAAGACCAATAAATTTTGGTGCGCAGTAGACAAGCTACAGAAACTAGTCATGCAATGGCTGTTTGAACTTTCCAAGGCCAATATGGCGGGTACAGGTAATTTGATGTTTGCTTAATTTTAAATCATAACTTAATACACCATCCAAGGATACAAGCTTCGCCAGAAAATCAGCAAAGCAATCAAAACTCGAGGGAAGGCCGTTCGTTCTGCATTAGACAACTATAATGACCTTGCAGCTCGCATGACGCCCCCGGCTCCCCATCTCAAGTGGGGCAATATCCTTGATTATGCTTTCATATCCGACTTTGAACTTCTCAAACATGCTTACTCTCAGCAGGACATCACAAGGGAACCCTGGACCATCCCTGGCAATCGTGAGATCATGACGAAATACTTCAAAGTCAAATGTGCTCGCGAGGAGTTAGAGAGATTGAATGTAGAGATTCGACACCTTCGCGCTTTCATTGTTGATGAGCATGGATTAATGCATGCTCAGCTTCATCACTTACGTGGCAGTGACCCATACCTGGTGGCAGAACTCAAAGCAGTATGTCATAGACGCCATCAGGTAGATGCTCTTCATCTCCTCCGACTTGACGATATCGAGTCATTACCAGGTTTCACAGGGACCCATACCTTGCGAGGCGAGACTAACATTGTTTTGGTACCACAAGAGCTTGATAGCACAGAGGGTATGGAGGATCTTATTGAAGATGACGCTGTCCAAGATGAAATGATTTGCCTTGGGGAGTTTTTTGAGAATCTTAGCGTTGAATAGTGTTGCTATCATTTGTATGAGGCTTTGTAACTATGAAGATTCAATCTGTATCTTTCAAGCACATATTTAAATTTTTGAATGTATGTGAAGAAACATTGTGCATTTCAAGATTTGTTGATGTGCTGATGCACGCAGCAGTTAATATCGACTATATTGAGTACTGGAGTATTGACCAATCATTTGAGCCAACCTAAACAGTTATCGCATCAAACATCCATTCACCCTCACTCTTCATCCACACTCTTCATTTACAGCCGTACAGCTGACTCTCATGAGAGCTACATACTCACCCCCGGCCATTCGGCACTGGGTCCAGGATCAAGAGACTCAACTGTCGAGTCATGAGATTGATTGTCGGCACTACTCATACCATCGTGGCATTCGCAATGATGGCACCAACAATATACCAACACAACTTCTTCACAATCACTTCTGTTTGAATCAAGGCAACAGAGAACTGGCTTTTCACGAAGGAATGGGTGATATTAAGGACACTGTAGGTTGTTTTCTTATCTATAGATCAGTACCATCTCACTTTGCCTTAAGCCTATAGGTCTAGGATGACTTGCAGATGGATTGTTCATTGGATTTGGTGTTCGGCCTGAGTCGAATACATCTGTGCCCCTCCGCCCGTCGGACATAGTCGTCAACATCGTACATACACATCAACTTCATCAATTCCCGCAGTTTGAACACACTGTTGAGCGCATGCGGAGTATCTTTGTGGAAGAAATTGCGCTAACACATATCTTATCCTTTGGCCACAAATTGGATTTAGTCAGACCGGGTCCTGGCTATGTCATGGACCCTTTAACGTGCTCCCTCATGGTTGGGAACATATCTCTTGTACCAGATCAACCCTATTCAGTTGAGGTGCCTCCATCCCCGCGCACATCTGCACGTACTTTACCTCTAGGCCGTTCCGCTCAGCTGCAAGCGCAGCAGCAGCAGCAACAGTCCACTCAATGGGCTTCCTCTGCGTCCATTCAGTTTGCACCACCTCAAACTGTTTACATATCAGACTCAGATTCTGATTCGGAGACTCAGCAACAGCTGCTGCCGCAGCAGCAGCATTCTGTTCAAAGGGCTGCCTCTGTGTCCATTCAGTTTGCACCACGTCGAACTATTTACATTTTGGACTCAGATTCTGATTCAGAGACTTTAGGTAAGTGAGCTCTTGCATCATATAGAGCCCTCATGGACTGTTGCACCACTTGGCTGACCTCATCACACAGAATCCTCAAGTGCCTCTTGGATTATTACACCACCTGGCTCACCCCAGCATACCTCTTGGATTGCCATACCACCTGGCTCGCCCCACACCAATCGGCCCCTGGATTACTGTAATGAACCTTCGGTAACAATGTTCAATTTTTCCTCTGCAACTCAGGAATACCTGCAGGGATTGGATGCTTCTGCCCGCATGTTATGTCAGATCGATGCTACCCTGAATCGAAGTATTTCAGAGTGGATCCACTGTTTCAAAGAGTCTGGTCTGACTAATGCTCAAGCTTATCAACTCCGTGGAATAATTCTTCGTGGTCTTTCAGATGGTGACATTTCAACTGTACTAGCTAGCGTAGGTCTCTGACACACGATTTTTGTATAGCGTAAGTGATCATTATAATATTGTATCTTGCCTTAGCATTGACAGGGTCATCAGATATATGTATATTGGCATTTGTCCTTAGCATGAGTATATAATTTTTTTGACATGTGCTCTAGTGGCAGCATCATGATTGAATTTACTTTGAGTTATTCTATTCTTCACTTCACTTTGCTATTTCTTCCTCCTTCAATTTCATTGGCTCTCAGAATTCTAAACACAAATGGTCATCACTGTCAAGAAAAAAGCAACACGGATGATGGAGCAGCAGTGGCTTGCAAAAAGTCGTTCTGATGCAATGTGGAGGGATATTGACGCTGAGCGCACTGCTTACCAGTTGGCAATCGGGCGCCTGTCTGAAAAATATGATACGTGAGTGTCATTCTTCAATATACATAAGTAATGTGTCTAACATATTTGCAGCTCTGTTGACTGGATGTCTCAGCAGCTTTTCCTCGGTGGCAAGCTATTGAAGTCTGGTTGAAAAAAAAACTTATTCAACGCATTCATGAAGAGCGAGATGCAGAAGCGCAAAGAGAATGGTATGGTACTGTCAAAGTCATACTATCACTTGTTTAAACGGTCTGTTGCAGGTACTTGGATGGGACGAGAGACGTTAGCTATTGTGTCAAGAGAGGCAAAAGAATCAGGCGGATGGAAGGAGCTCCCACAACATGAGATTGACGATCTTATGGAAAGTTTAGAAGATGATGATACTTCAGCACCAGTTAAGGTGACAGCACGAAGTGTTGCAGCTGATATCGAGGGGACTATTTCCCGCATTCAACCAGAAGTAGGTATTCACCTTAGTCCATTTAAAAAATATTAACCGTTTTTCCTGCAGTTGCTTGGCCTTGAGAGGCGGACTGGTTGCAATGTGATGTGGATAGTCACATGTGGAAAGGTTAGCGACACATTCACTCCTTGGAGCTATGCCTCCGGAAATTTGCAGATGGCGTGTCTGCATCTCCTCAAGACTACAGTTGAAAAGCTGGCCTTACAGACAGATGCCTATGTGGTGTCAGGTGCATCTGGTGTTATCCGCATGACGACCGGTCGGAAGATGACAAAACTCAAAGCCGAAATTCGAGAGATGGTGCATGATGGGATACATAAGTAAATTCACTGTCACGCTCGCACATAAAACTGATTAGTTTTTCTTAGACAAAATTCTTACAGAGATGGCGGTCCTTCCGGATGACCTTCCGGCCGTTGCATACAACAGCTATGATGCATTTGTTGTTAAGTGGGGTATTGAGCTGACAGGCTGGACCGAAGCTCAAGTCACAAACCCCGGAAACATAACTTCCTCGGTCACATTATCTCATCTCCATTCTGCACTCAAGGATGGGGATTGTCATTGGTGCACACTTTCTTCCTCAGAATTGAAGTCGAAGGCCGAGGAATTCAAAAAACACCTTGTTAATGGCGAGATCAAGTCTCGTGCCACCCGTTCCGATAAAGGCACAAAAAAGAAGGCCAGGATCTCTATAAACACCATCAAAAGCCGCGATACCCTTACAGACACTGATGATGATGACGACGACGATGCCAATGAAAACAACAGCAGCGACAACATCAAAACTAGGGCAAGCACGGCCCCGACTGCAGCAGCTATGGATTCGGAAGGCGATACAGTCAACCACAACATTGTGACAGCCACCAGCCATTCAGATCCCATGTTTCCTGCAACTCACTTTAGCACAAGCCCCTTCTCAACCCAACTCCCCATGACACCCATCAGTGCAAGCCCCTTCCTCACTCCCTCTCAAGCTGCAAATGTATCTGAAAAATCCATGGGCAGCTTTAACGGTTTAGCTTTGGATGATCATTTTCGCTATTCCCCTTTGCCAGTAGAAGACAGCGGCCTACCCAATGAGGAATATCATGCCAACATTGCACGTTTGATGGGATTGTTGTAACGGCTCGCTTGTTCTGACATGTTCAACTCTTTACTAATGTACCTACTCAAGTGTATATAACATTTTTGGGTCATCTAGCATACAGCCAATACATCTATAATGTTCTTTCCATTGCACACTTTGAACCAATCCTCGTGCTTGAGCTCGCTGTTGCAGACAGCGACAATGAAGGTTTGGATGATTGGTAATCCAGGTATGAAGCCTGTGCTTTCCTAATTAGGCTACAACACCTTCATAACGTCTTCTGAGAGCTTCAGAAGCTTCTGGATGGCAGCCGAAACTATGTCTGTATGTTTTATGGAGATAACACCTTTATCTACGTTATCTAACAGTTATCTAACCTATATCTACTGTAATCTTACATATCTATACCTACAGGGTGCATAAGAGCAGAGGTATAGGTGGTGGTATTGGTGGTGTAGAGGTTTACTGGTGCCATGGGTAATAACCCACAGCGTCCGAATCCGTTGTTCAGGTTTATTAGGCTCTATTGTTATGTCACCCAGGTGGGTGGAGTTCGGCAGAACTCTGGGAGTCTTATTTGGGAACGGAGTAAGGCTACTACAGAAGTCTGGAGTAGAAACAGAACAGAGGTTAGACTACCCTAAGGTAGAGCCGGAGAATTAGTCCTAAGGTTTAACCCCTAAGACTCAGAGGTAGACAAGAGATGAGACTCAAGTCCGGAGATTGCAGGAATGAGCAGAACTGAGATGATATTTGAACTGAGGAGTTCCGGAGTATTACAGGGGTTTATATACTGTAGGTGACAAAACTTTGAGTGAAGCGGATGCAATCTGTCAGTACCCTAAGTGACGCGGATCGGGTCCGCAGATACACCTAAGTACAGCAGATAGGATCCGCACTCAGCCGCTGCCAAAGGAGGCAATAGAAATGACTTTATTCACCTAAGTAAAGCGGATAGGATCTGCACTACTCTAGATTAGCTACACTGTGGTATAAATGAATGTAAGTGAAGAAATACCTCAGCTGCTGCCAAAGGAGGCGATAAAAACGACTGAGGGAAAGTATGTACCAAAGCACCTCTGATATATGGGCAAAAACCCGCTTGCTAACCAACCATGCGTATCACCTATGAGTCCATGACTTGTATCGAACGCACTCACTATTACATGTACACCTGAAACATTCTGAAACAATCTGATGCACCTTATTACGTATCCGAGCGCATGCACTTGCATCCGGCCACGCATGCGGGTGACGGATCATCCATGCATGCATGGGTGAGTGTTGGATGGGAGACGGATACCCGCGGATGGGTTTAGGATGGGTCGGATGGATGTGGGATATTATCTGGTTTTGTCACTCCCACTCAAGTGGAGTCATAGTCCCATGGCTTTGGTAAACTTCCAGTGCTTCTCATGCGTGAGCGGTTTGGTCAGAATATCTGCTACCATATCATCTGTGGATACATATCGGATGATGGCTTCCCCGGTTGCGACCAGGTCGTCACAGACAAAATGGTACTTGCGCTGGATGTGTTTTGTGCGTGCACGGAACTGCGCATCTTTCGTGAGGATGATTGCAGCTTGATTGTCGCAATGGAGAAGGGTCGGATAACGTTGCTTGTATCCGATCTCCTCAAAAAACATGTGGAGTCATGCTAAGTGCTGTCCCGCATTGCTGAGGCTGATGTATTCCGATTCCGTAGTGGATAGCGCTACCATGCTTTGCCGCTTACTAGCCCATGAAATGGCACCGCAGTTTGTGATGAAAGTGAATCCGGAAGTGGAACGGGAAGTATCCGAGTCACCCGACCAATCCGCATCCGTGTATCTGTGGAAGTCCATGTCCATGGATATGTCAGTTCTGTCGTATACCAACTCCATGTCTCGCGTTGCTTGCAGATAGCGAAGAACGTGCTTTGCGGCTTCCCAGTGTTGGTTTTTAGGGGCTGTGCTGTACCTGCTGAGTACTCCCACTGCATATGTGATATCGGGACGTGTCCCGAGCATAGCATACATGAGTGATCCGACAACAGATAGGTAGGATACGCAGGTGCCATCTATGGTCATCTCATGACAGGTCGCATGGTCATCCGGTTGTTCCGCTGTGAGCCACAAGCCATGCGCCATAGGTGTCCACACAGGTTTGCACTGTGACATGCCCGTGTGCTTGAGGACAGTGTCTACATATTGTTGCTGGGAAAATGCGATCTTCCACACTGGGTGATCACGGCAGATCTTGATACCCAGGATGAGTTTTGCTTCTCCGAGGTCGCGCATCTTGAACTGTGATGCGAGCATGCGTTTCACCTTATCCATGAAAAGTTGGGTGGTAGCAGCTAGTAGTAGGTCGTCGACATACACTACAAGAAAACACACTTGCCCCTTTTCCTGGAAAACGTATAGGCATGTTTCCGCATCTAAGCGGGTGAATCTGACCTCTCCCAGTTTTCGATCTAGAGTCTTGTTCCATGTCCGGCCCGCTTGTTTGAGTCCATAGAGTGAGCGCTTGAGTTTCCAACAGTATCCCGGCTGGATGGGTACCCCTTCGGGTGGTAGCATGTATAACTCCTCTTCTAGTTCACCATTCAGGTATGCGGTTGACACATCCATTTGATCTAGCTCGAGGTCGTGTTTTGCGGCGAGGGATAGGATGATGTGGATGGACTTGAGGTTAGCAACGGGTGCGAAAACTTCCTGGTAGTCTACTCCTTCCTTCTGAGAGAATCCGCGGGTGACTATCCGCAACTTGTACCATTCAACATTTCCGTTTTGGTCTTTCTTGATGTGGAAGACAGGCTTGGAGGTGATCGGCTTGACGCCTTCAGGGATTGGGACGGTTTCATAGACTTGGTTTTCGTTCAGGCTGGAAAGCTCCTCCTCTAGAGCCGATTTTCATAATCCTCCGTCCGGGCGGATAAAAGCTTCTGGTAATGTCTTGGGGAGATTGTCTTTGGATGGGCCCGTGGCTGCTACACCAGCAAAATATATATCATCCGGATCTATGGCGTCAAAGGTTGTATGACTTGCATCCAGCAGTTCAGGTTGGCCATCCGAGTGTTCATCTGGTGCACTTGTGTCCTCGTGCAGTGCGGGCGGATCCACGGGTGCTTGGCGGCGTGTGGCTTCTTCATCCAAAGTCCGTTGGTAGTCGTGGTTTCAATCCCAAGGTCATGTAGTGTGGGTGCTGCGTCGGACCCCAGCTACTACCTGTGTGGGTCGTGCGCAGTTTGGAGATGGTGATCGCATGCGTGGTGCGGAACCCATAGCCTCTGAGGCTTGTGAATCTGGATTGATCGACAAGTTGTCTAGCTTTGTGCATATGTCTTCGACATCCGATTCCATCTGTGCTCCCACTGCGCCTAGTTCGACCTTCGGATGGTGCGCGGATGTGGGTGGATCTGTCAGATCCGGAGGATGTATGGCTGGAGCCTGCGGGAGGTCTATGCAATGTCGTAGAGGAGGTGGATCATCATCCATATGGTCTAAGTCATAGTTGTAGACATGCGGGACTATACCCTCCCACTGCTGGACTTATGGATGGACGTTCCAAGGTGCATAATCATCTGGGGGAACTTGCGCAGTTTCATTGAAGATGACATGCCGACTGGAGAATATGGTGCACTTCTCGAGGTCTAGGAGTTTGTATGCTTTCTTTCCGTAGGCATATCTGAGCATGATGGCTTTTCTCCCTTTCAGATGGAACTTCCCTCCACACTTGTCCTTTGGTATGAGCGCATATGCAGGGCATCCAAAAGGTCGGAAGAACATGGGGTCTACACGTCTGTGGAAGAGATGTCCATATGGGCTATTGCCCTTCAGACCCATGGCTGAACTCTGAGCGGTGATGTATGCCACAGTGAGCATGGCATCTGCCCAGAACGACTTTGGCAGTTTCGACTCTTTGAGCATTGTGGTTGCGAGAGTACAAAGTGTTTGGTTCATCCGATCCATGAGGCTGTTCTGTTCCGGGGTATCTGCAGCTGTGGTTTCCTGGATGATTCCATCTGTGCGCATGGTATCCGATATGGTGTGTCCGGTGTACTCACCTCCACCATCGCTTCGGATGAACTGAGTGTAGAATGGGGTGAAATGTTCCTCTTTTACTTCTGCACGGAAGAATGCCTGGACATCCGCTTTCCAAGTCTTGTACTGCTGATGCACGTTGCTCTTCCGCTTTAGTAGGTGAATCCATGGGAATTTGGAGAAGTCGTCGACAATGACCATCCAGTAGCAGAAGCCCTCACGCGATATCGGGGTGATTGGTTCGCCTACATCCATATGAATAATTTGGATTGGGCGTTCCGCGCAGTTTCCGCTTGTGGGTGTAAAGGGGAGTTTCTTCAGCTTTCCAAGGACGCATGGTTCGCAGAATTCAGGGGTTCCGGTGAGAGTGTCTATACCCTGTAACCGACCTTTTGCTACCATCCGCTGTATCTGATCCATTGAGATGTGTCCCATCCGCCGATGCAAGAGGTTGATATCTACTGCAGCATTCGCTTGGTCCAAGCTGGGCATGGGCTTTCCTTTGATGTGGTGAAGTCCGCGTTTGTGATGCGCAGTGAGTACAATGCACGACCCCTTGCGGATTTCGCAGATGTCGGATTTGGCGAGGAAGCTGGTGGATAGACGCGTGCGCCCGATCTTGTAGACAGATATGAGCGATAGGGTGAAAACCGGTACTAGGAGGACATCCGACAGTGCTATGTCATACTGCTTAGTTCCTACATGCGTGCGGATGATGACTGTGCCGATTCCAACAGCATGGACAGTTGAGTCACCTCCAAAACTAATGCGACGCGGCGGGTTTAGTACTCGGAATGATCTCGACTCGAACCATCCTCTATGTGGGACCATATGCGACGTTGCACCCGAGTCTACAATGATGGCGGATCTGTCACGCGCGGGGGATGCAAGGTAAGCTTGAATGCGCTTTGCTAAGGATTTAGAGATATGTATGCATTCGAAAGTAATGTGGCTCTGTTTGTCCATGCTAGAGTTTGAGTCTGAATCCGTATCTGCTTTCGCATCCACTTTCTTCGCTTTCTCCTTCTTCTTTTTCTTTTCCGCTTTCCACTTCATCGCACAGCAGTCACTGGTGTTGTGCGTGCTGTTACTCTTGTGAAGCTCACACCACATCTTGGTCTCAGTGCTTTTCATCGTCGATGCAGGCGGATCGGATGCGGTATCCGTTGGATGGCGCGCGACTTCCACTACAATGCGGGTTTCCACATCATTGAAAGTTAGCTTTGATTCATTGATGGTATTAAGGATGGATGATGTGAAAGTCTTCCAATCCGGTGTATCCGGGAGCGAGCAGAGGAGGGCAAATGCGATGAGCTTCATATCAATGGTGAACTTCATACCCGCTAGGCGGGTCTCCAGGTTTCGGAAGATGGAGATGTGGTCTTCGATAGCGGATGTGCCATCCCAGTGTAGGGCAAAGAGTTGCTCAAAGGAGTAGAATGCGGATATGACGTTGGAGGTGTTGTGGATCTCTATGAGTTTGTCCAGTAACCCTTTGGACGTCGCTTGGGATGTGGTTTTGAGGAGTAGCACATCGGATATGTGACCTTGGATGATTCTGAGTGCTTTGTCATCACATAGTACCCATGCAGTGACCAGGTCATCTGCGGATGTGGATGTAGTGAGTGCGGATGCAGGAGAGGGTTTCGGCTCTTCACCGGTCGCAACGCAGAGGACTTTCTCGCAGCATAGCTTAGCATAGATGTGTAGTTTCCAAATCTGAAAGTTGTTTGGTCTGGTAAGGACAGGACAAGCGGATGTATCGCTTGTGGAATGGGATTTTGTCATGATTGACGATGGACACGGATTTTAACCCTCTGCAGGTTGGGTGAGTCGTTCTGAGGTCGATCTGGCTAGTTGGCGTAAGCAGGGCTCATAACCTGACAAAACTTTGAGTGAAGCGGATGCAATCTGTCAGTACCCTAAGCGACGCGGATCGGGTCCGCGGATACACCTAAGTAAAGCGGATAGGATCCATACTACTCTAGATTAGCTACACTGTGGTATAAATGAATGTAAGTGAAGAAATACCTCAGCCGCTGCCAAAGGAGGCGATGAAAACGACTGAGGGAAAGTATGTACCAAAGCACCTCTGATATACAGTGGCTCAAAAAACTGTCCGCATGTTTTCACATTTTTCACTATCTATGATATTGTGTGAGAATGTACAAACACATCAAGGACATGCTGGTACCATATTGTAGTACTACTTCAGGGCTTCCAATTGAGCCCTATGGCGTGGAAATTGGTCGAGATATGGTGGAGATATGAGGCTTACAAAATGATGACTCATGCGGACAGTTTTTTGACTCAAGTATTTTACAGTGATAATCAGGTATTCTAGTACATTGTGTGACCTCCCTTGGCTTTAATTACTGCCTCTATCCTTCTAGGCATACTCTCAATCAATTTCTGGCAATATTCTGCTGTAATCCTTGCCCATTCCACTGCTACTCTCTCCCATAGCTCCTATACTCCTTTAGGGGGGGTTTCATAGGCTTGAAGCATCTTCTTGAGTATTCCCCAGAGATGTTCAATGACATTGACATCAGGGGACTGTGCTGTTCAGTCAAGAACATTGATATTATGTTCTTTAAACCATTGTCTGGCTCTGCTAGATGTGTGCTTGGGATCATTATCCTGTTGGAAAATGATGTCTTCTTCATCAATCCCTGAGTCAGCTATGCTAGGCAGCATCAGCATCCATCCTCCCCTCAACTTCAGCAGGCATACCCACACCATTCCATCTCATACAGCCCCATACCATTAGAGAACCTCCTCCAAATCTGACAGCCTCACTAACCTCTCTGTCTGTTAGAAAATCCCTCTTCTTTCTCCATACATATACCTTCCCATCTGACCCAATCCTATTGATTTTGGTCTCATCTGAACATATAACATGCTTCCAGTCCTCTACAGTCCAGTTTTGATGGGCCAAGCCAAAGGTAGTCTTTTCAGCCTATGTTTAATAGAGATAAGAGGCATTTCTTCTTTGTTACTGCCTTGAGATGAGCTGCCTTGAGAACATCCCTCACAGTTTGTGAAGAGACAGTGGTGGTGATGGTGGAATTGATATAATGGGTGGCTTGGACAGCATTATCAGCCTTTCCTGTAGTGATATGTTGGATGATAGCCCCCTTATTAGCAGAGGTGGACGTCCTCCACAAGAGTTTTCCTTGTCCAGGTGGCTTTCTTTGATACACTTGGCTGCAGTAGACTTGCATACTTCAGTTCTAGAGGAAATTTGATGAGCAGAGAGGCCAGCATAGGACAAAGAGAAGATATTATCCCTTTGAGTAGAGGAGATGGCTTTCATGGTAATTATGACCATGACACATGAGACATTCTGGTTTATATAGTTAGATATAGTTTTAAGAGTATGCCTAGAAGGATAGAGGCAGTAATTAAAGCCAAGGGAGGTCACACAATGTACTAGAATACCTGATTATCACTGTAAAATACTTGAGTCAAAAAACTGTCCGCATGAGTCATCATTTTGTAAGCCTCATATCTCCACCATATCTCGACCAATTCCCACGCCATAGGGCTCAATTGGAAGCCCTGAAGTAGTACTACAATATGGTACCAGCATGCCCTTGATGTGTTTGTATATTCTCACACAATATCATAGATAGAGAAAAATGTGAAAACATGTGGACAGTTTTTTGAGCCACTGTATGGGCAAAAACCCGCTTGCTAACCAACCATGCGTATCACCTATGAGTCCATGACTTGTATCGAACGCACTCACTATTACATGTACACCCGAAACATTCTGAAACAATCCGATGCACCTTATTACGTATCTGAGCGCATGCACTTGCATCCGGTGTAAGGAGCAGATTCCACTACGACCTCAGCGCGATAATGGCCGATTCGAGTAGTGAGCCTAAAATGTTCAGTTCGACCCGAGGGAAGCAGAACAAAGCAAACCGAATTGCTGCCTCAGTATATAATACGAGGGGCGCGACAACGAGTCAAAGGGCGGCTGATCCAATATGTGTTCAGCGTAAACAGTTACCCATAAAGCCGACCGACTATAATTTCTACCGATCGCTATGCAGTGCGCGAGTGAGTGCGGCCGACTTAGATAGGTGATGAGGAACGGAAGTTTTTTTTTTTTAAGACGAACGTGCGGACGGACACGAGAATAGGATCAGAAGAGAACGGAACACAAAAGACATGGCTTCTGAGTGAGAATTAACTGAATTGCAATAACGGGCGAGCGCTCCTTAAGTACAAAATCGGCTACTAGGTAAAAAATGGAGATAATCATCGCTTGGGATGTCCGGGCTGCCTCGTGGTTTGCTAGAAATGTACGTGGGACATGCGGTCGATCGTCCGTGATATGCACGGGGATATGTGAGAGTAAATCGGTCCGAGCCGCTTAAGGCGATGTAATAGGGAGTTTGAGAGGTAAAAGTACTGTATCTGTCAATAAACCAAAGAAGAATATACTACGCACCAATGGACAAGGATTTTATGGATATGGGGTTCGACTGAGTATCTGTGAGCTAGAAAGGCAAAACACGCGCACGACCGACCAATGGTGCGCGTTAATTCGTTGTCGGCCGATCTGCTTGTGTGAGCGGCTTGAACACGCATGGGCGGGAGTTCAATCAGCAAGGAGTCGGATAGAGCGCGCGGGGTCGGGTGAATATTGCAGTGGATCGGTACATCAAGGGAGTACCATGTCAGTGCCAATCCGTGTCCTACACCGGCCATGCATGCGGGTGACGGATCATCCATGCGTGCATGAGCAAGCATTGGATGGGAGACAGATACCCACGGATGGGTTTAGGATGGGTCGGATGGATGTGGGATATTATCTGGTTTTGTCAGTAGGTATCATGTAAGTAAATCAGTCAGCAAAGGTAAGGGCTATGTATGAAGCATGTGGAAAGTCTATTAGTAAGTGTAACGGATCAAAGCAGTGAAGTCAGAAATGAAGTAAGAATGGACGGATCAGTAAGCATAGCGGAAAAGGACATAACTGGTAACCGGAGCAATAGCTAATCTAAAAGGAGTTAGGGGTGAGTGCGGAGATGAAGGCGGAGCGCCAGGCAAAATAACAGGACGGAGGACCGGACTTTAGTGGTGGGGTTCCGGAATTCTGGATCCGGAGGTATGGGATATGACAGTTCACGAAGTTCATGATTGGAAAGATCACGCCCGATTAACAACAGGTCAAAGCCTCCGCATGCTCAGAAAGTATCTGAGCAGACAGGCCTACCGATTCTATGAGTGCAACATACTTGACCTAGAGAAATTGTACTCACTTACCGAGTTCTTCAAACAGCTATTTCACTATGTGTTTCCCCCTGACTTTAGGATGCAACAACACCAGAAATTTATTGAGTGCTGTCAGGAGAACAAACAGAGCGTACGTGATTATTTGAGACGTCTCAGAATGCTCGCTGATATGGCTGGAGATGTAGATGAACGCAAGATGGTGAGACAGTTCTGGATGAACTGTCTCCCCTACTTAAAAGCCTCCTTAGTCGACAAAGGCTACGAACCAAACATGGTAAGCCTTGAAATGATCGAAAAGAAAGCATTGCGCACCAAGAGAGCATTCCTCAAAAACACCAAGGATCCGAACATCCTGCTGGCCATCAACCCGACCTTAGCTGCAGGATATGCCCAGAATAACAGCTGGAACGATCGTAGAGAATCATCACATGGTAATAGACTTGACAGACAACCCTGGACCCAATCCATTTCAGCTAACGCTATTCATCATTGAGGACCTTGTGACCCACGAGGGCATAGTCACCCTCGCCCGGGAGCTCCCCTCTCTAGAGCCCCTGGGAGCCCAGAGAGACCCAAGA